TGTGACGGCTAACTCATCAGTACAACCAATACGGGACAATTTGAACCATCGGCTAATCCAATATTTGCAGCTTCTGAAAGAGATTTTATTTTAATCTGATGCTTGTTGCAAAATTCAGGGTGGATTGCTGAAAAATTGGCACCTGGATCCAAGATAGCCCAGACCTGTTGGTTCTGTATGGTTACTGGAATTAGTGTTTCGTCATCATAGATGGGTTTTCCCTTTTCGACACTGGTCATTCGAGAAAACTTACAAGGTTCTGAGTTATTGGGAGCATCTCCGCTGTTGTCTTGTATATTGTTTTCTTCTATGGCTCTTCGGACTGCACGTTTGGCAGAGCGCGCAAGAAATTGTTTTCTGCGATCATGCGTCTTCTTTGATTGCCGTTGAGCAAAAGAGCTGCTGCCACTGCTACTGCTGGTGCTGCTGGAGCTGCTGCTACCAGTGTCCTTTATGTGTTCATGTCGGGACCGAACTCAACGAAAAAGCCACGGTGTTGGCAAATTCGACACCAGTTGATCTGAGTCGGCGCGACGGACTTGGCCTCAGGTTTCCTGTGGAACGATTCGGTCTTATGGGCTTTGGACCGCGACGAATCGTGCTGACGATGCTCAGATGTGAGCGATCGCTTGCCTTTACCTTTCAGGTTGGGCAAAGCCATTATGTGTAAGCTAATGCGATCCACGTCAACAGGCCATTCATTGCCATAGTTCTGTGATAACCAGGCCTCAGCTTGCAAGCGGGAGTCTTCTTGCATGTTCAACAAAAAAGTATCAAACACCGCTTCGTCCGTACTTTTGTAGTACGAACTGTGCAGAAGCTGCTGGAAGCGCCGGACGTAATTGTCGAGGCCTTCAAAATCGCCTTGTCTGCAAAGCAAGACTTGACGATTGCTTTGGCGCTTTTGAACAGCTGTGTCATAAATGGAGATCAGCACGTCTTTGGCCTGACTCCAAGTTGCCTTAGCAATGCCTCTACTAGAAAGGTGCTTGGTCAACTGATCACGCTGCGACTGATTTAAAGCTTGTTGGATCAGTCGGCGCCAGTGGGACTCAATATCCATGTTGTGGACCGTGATTGACGTCTCGAAGTCTTTGGTCCACGCTTCTGCTGAAGAGAAGGTCATGGTGGCCCGTTTACTGCCATGAGGGAGACCATGCAGCTGCAAGTACGGCAAAGACTTGGGTACTGGCTGTGGCACCTCTTTGACACGCGCGTGCTGAGAACCGTACTTCTCCGTGGTCCAGAACAAAGGTTCATTTGGATACACACAGTTGAAGGTACGTCTCACTTCTTCGAGCTCAGCATTGTTTGCTTTACTGGCCGCGAGAAGGGCACTGCGGTTTGTGTGGTCATCACTGACAAGAGAACGACCAATTTGCTGGGCAAGGATCGCCTGCTTTCCCAAGAGGACCTTCATAGCTGATTTGGCTACCTGCAAGGGGTCAGCGTGAATGGATTCTAAAGAACCCGGCTGTGCCAGTGGCATTTCGACATCATCCTCTGCTACTAGCTGGGAGCCAGCAACGGAACGTGACGACACATCCTGAAGAGAATGCTCTTGGACGTGGGTGCCAGGCGCGGGGAACTGTGAGTTCTCTGCAACGTTAGCTACAGACCGCACCTCTGGCTGAAGAGAATACTCTTGCCATGGATACCAGGCGCGGGAACTGTAAGTTCTCTGCAGCAATAGCCACAGACCGCACATCTGGCTGACCAGCGGTGGTGCTCGCCACGCTCAAAGCATCACCTTCGTTGTCGAGGTTCAGCCTTTGCATGAGGGGCGGCAATTGTTGGATGTTTTGCTGCTGTTGCTCTTGCTGCAACGCAGTGGGAGGAGGCAGGAGCGGCACGAATTGCGGTTGCTGCTGTTGTTGACCAAGTTGTTGCAGGCCAAAAAGCTGCTCGAGCTGTTGCTGCGAAAGTTGTTGCTGTTGCTCAAGTTGTTGGATGAGCTGCTGCTGCTGAGCAAGCTGCTGTTGCGCGAGCTGCAGTTGCGACACTTGTTCAGCCATCTGTTGTTGCTGCTGAAGTTGGTCTTGCTGTTGTTGTTGTTGGGCTTCGACTACAACGGAGGTAGCGAGCGAGGGCGACGAGATGGGTCCGTTGGTAGGAGTGGTGGTGTTGGTGGCGACAAGTTGGTTGACGTTCATCATAGTGATAGTAGTAGTAGTTGTAGTTGTGGTGGTGTTGGTGTTGGTGTTGGTGTTGTAGATGTGGTGAGAATTCACGAAAAAAAAATGTTTTATCGAGGATCGGAAATGGGACGAGATAATTCGTGAGACTCTTAACGGTCAAGTTTTTATTACGAGAGAAAGAGAGAGTTCCAAATATTCTTATTACTAGTTATTCATATAACGAAATTGTCTTTGTGGAACTTATTTGATGTCCCGATCCTCTGGATACAACACCAATGTCAACTACGAGTTCAACTATGTTTTTGTTAACCTGAAGGAAATGGTGCAGATCATTGATATTGGTGGTCAAGCTGTGGTAATCGATCGTCACAAGCCTGACTTTATGTTGTGACTTTGTGATCTCTTCTATCATGGCTTGCGTGCTACTACTATAACCATTGAGCACTAACTCTGGACGATCTTAGTCACGTGAAGCGATAGGATCAAATGCAGACATGCCAATCGATGCAAACACATCTTTGCATAGAAGCTTTGTTTTCAGCTTGTAAATCTGAAGGCTGACTGATTTTTTCTTTGCGGACAATGGTTGCTGATATATCAAGAATAAGTAGTATTCATATATTATTAGTTATATTATAAAATAAATGGTTTTTGGTTATTAATAATAATTTTTTCTTATAAAACCTTTATACTTTAAGACTATTTTTATAAATAATTAATAATTATATCTTTTTGATTAAAATTATCATATGGTATATAACTATTATAATCATCATTATAATATTTCCATTTAACTAAAAAGAAATATTTATTATTCTCTATCTAAGGATAAATTACTATTTCAACTTTATATGTTTTTATATTTTTTAATCTATTTTTATGTTTTCTTTTCTTTTCATTTGATTTTGGAACATCATCATTACTACTATCTAAATTTTTATTATTAACACTATTATTCCTACTATCACTATACTCATTAATAGTGTTTATATTTAAATTTAAATTTATCAAATTATTTTATAATCAATCATTTTATTTAGTTTTTCTTTATTTACTTCTTCATTTGTAGTAACTATATTAATTAAATTTCTTTCTGAAGGAAACTCAAAATTTCCAATTTCCTATACTTTATGATGTGGTAAAATGGGAATTTTAAATAGTTCGGTAAATTCTGTAATATTCTTTAATAAACAAGCTACATATAATTCAAGATTATATGTTTTTTTTATCCATTCGAACAGTAGAAGAATTATTATTAAATCTAATAAATTTATTACCTAACTTAGTAAATTGATTTGTTTATTTTAGACCTAAAGCTACCAAATATATTGAAGAACATTTTTTTATATATAAATATGATAATTTAATAGAACAAATAATGTATGCAAAACATGATTATTTGATATATCAGTTAATGCGCATATTACTATAGTAAATGTTATATATTATCTCTAATTCTTATATAGAATTGTATGTATTTAAAAAAATGAAAAATAAAAAAAAAATTTTAACCCTACCAAGACATACAGTCGACCCCCGTTAACGTCAACCCCCGATAGCGTCAACAGATTCGCCGGTACCCTTTCAAAGTTAGCAGTTAAAGATTTTGCCTATTCTCTACCCCCGGTGATCGTCAACCCTCGATATGGTCAACACTTTTGCTGGTACCCTGAGGGTTGACGTTAACGGGGGTCGACTGTAATGCCAAGACATATCAATTAATCACATGACTTCAAACCTAATACGTTAACTGTGATTTTAATAACATTAATTGACTATTAATTAAATTGAGAATATTTATTAAATGCAATTCCTACATCTTTTTGATTAATCAATATATTTTGTTCCACTATATCATGTTTTAATATAACCATAGCAGTTTTGATAATAAAATTATTATATATTTTATCATTATTAACATTAATATTAGGAGAAAAGAATTAAGGATATATTATACAGTTGACCCCCTTTAATGTCAACCCTCAAGTACACCTGAAAGTATTGACACTAACGGGGGTTGACGTTAAAGGGGGTGGCACAAAGTTTAACCGTATAATAAAAATATTAAACCAGCGCACCCTGACACAATGTATGTATGCAACAGAGTCGTTCCTAACAATGTATTTTCAACCAACAACAAAATAACCTCTTTTGATTAGATATGTTTGACCTCAATAAGAAGTCAACCCTGGCCAAGGTGTTGACATTGACCTTATGTAAAAGTTGAAATTTATCTCTGCTAAAATATGAGGTTCTCAGAAAAAGGTTGACTATATCGGGGGTTGACATTAAAGGGGTTGACATTAAAGGGGGTCCACTATATATCTCTTTATCTTTACAAATGTCATCATGTCGCATGTGCTCATACACTGTAGGAAAAAAAACCTTAATATACCTTAAAAAACCTGAATAAACCTGGATTTAGTTCAACCAGGACCACCGTTGCTGTACCAAATGAAACTTCCAACACACCTGACCACATTTTTTTTTCATCTCATCAATATGTCAACACCTTCTCTATCACGGAAGAATAATTTTATGCTGCCTGCGGTTGATCATTAACACCAACAGCTGGCAGGGTAACAATCGCGTTCAGCAGTCCAGGCTTATACGTATTGGTGAAGTTATGGTGTACTTTCAGCATTATGATGTAGACGCTGCCAGATTATTTGCCTTGGTGAAAGTATATGACGCTGAAAAGTCTAATGACAGTGGCATGTGGCTGTATCGCACGATGGAGTTGTTAATGTAAAGCATATCAAACAGCTGGTGTGCAGTATTGAAAGTACATCGAAGCGTCACTACGTCTGCAGGTCACAAACGAGACAACGAACTTCTTGGTGAACTGCGGTATCTATGGTGATTTCCATTTTAGGCAGTATCAAAACAAAGTTGATCCTTTTCTCCTCATTTGTTTGACCTTGCCTCTCCTTGTATGCTTCATCTTGCCGTTTGAAAAAAAAATCGTTCCTTTTCTTATTCCGTTTCCTCTTTCGTTAATAATAAAACATCACACAGAAACAACTTCACATGAATCCTCAAACCCCATCAATTCTTAACGCTATCAAAAACAATAACGATTCAATGCTTGCACTTGCACGGTCGGTCGGCTCCTTGACAAGGGAAGTTGATGTCACAGTAAGGCGTTGGATGATCTTTCCACATCAGTAACTCTTATAGTTGGGGATGTACAGTGCTGTCCTTTCATGTCCATCTGTAGAATCTTCCAGCTCCGTATCAAGAGCGTTTTCTTCTGGGCTGTTCGACGGCATGCTCTTGACACGGTCTTACAAACGCAAAGTCGACTCACAGACGAAGTTTGTAGTGGAGGAGCTGACCAGTCTGTGCCACGACGTTGTCAGGGAGCACCAATTGGATATCACGCGCAGCGACGAAGTCAATATCAGGGACAACATATGGGGACGATCTGGGATAATGGTCGATGGTATTCTCAGCAAACCTGATATTGATTTGCTTAGAACGAGCTGGTCAGCGATACCAGAGACGACCTTGAAGGCGCAACAAGATTTATAGAGCGCATGCTAAATATCTGCACCCTTGGCTGCGTGCGTGAACAGTTGGGCTACAAACAAAATCCTGCAACTTCGGGGGATCGCGCAATAACTTACAAGAAACGCGTTGCCTAGGGCGGCTTCTACCAAAAATCAGTAAGTACATACTAGGAGTATTAGCGTTTCCGGTATATATGTATATAATGCTTACCTTCAAAATATTACAGTTTTTAAACGCTATCAGACATTATCAAGCGCTCCACAAGAGCAAACATGTGTTTTTTCAGAATAAAGGTATATATACTCTACCAATGCAGATGTATTTGACGTACTTCATAGCACACACACTGGTTGTACTCAACCAGCGTTCGTCAACACCATGAGGTTGCGTTGCCGTCGACATCAAACACAGACGACTGTTCAAGGCTCCTAGTGTAATAGTCGGAAGACGAAGACGCGTCGCAACTGCCCAGTGTGTTGCTCTCTTTAAGCCAAGGTAAACAGTAGATCAAAAATCCATATTGCATGGCATAGAATGAGCATCCATGATATACCAACCTAATTAAAAGAGAGACTACATCACGCAAACGCGCCCGTTCATGCGATGGATCTGCTAATGACTTCACTGACAGCACCAGTGTTGCTCGCGTCGGTGCTCGTTATGCTCGTGGTGTTCGCTGTTGCGGTCGTGTTGGCAACTAATAGAATTAAACACTTATTTGCTTGTGTACTACACATGCAAAAATGATTTGTCAAAGATTTAATATAGAAAGCAAAATCTAATAATAAACATATTGTCATCCAATCGAAATCAGTTTTTTGCATACATAATATGAAAGAGGATCAATGAGGAAATGTGAATAGCTGATGAAATATCCAATGATGCTCCCAAACGGATCAGCTATACGTACAACAACCAATAAGACACGATGTAGTATGTACCCAATCATAAACACAGTTGAACGCATTCCACACTTCAGCCGACCAATAAAACGAATCAGAGAAACTAGATATTATTAAGGTATATTCGAGTTTTCTCAGGTTTTTTCAGGTTTAAAAAAAACCTGAATATACCTTAATTTGCCCGTTTCAGGTTTTTTCAGGTTTTAGGTTTTTTTAGGTTTTTTAAGATATATTAAGGTTTTTTCTTTCCTATAGTGATATCATTATTGCCTTATACATCTGTTATAAACAGTGAAAGCATGGATGCTATAATACCGATGCCTCAGTAAGCTCCCACTTTTTCGGTGGTGTCATTTACTGTCATTGCAGCTACTCTCTATGGATGCAATACCAGTAGCAGGAGATGTTCAGAGGGGTAAAACCGTGCTCTAAAATATGCCGTGATTCAGACAATCGAAGGCATCACTGAGGAGAAGCCAGTGGATGCTATGTAACAACTATATTACTGAACTGGTTTGAAGATAGTGTTGCTTACTACTACTAACTGAATGACAGTGGGCGAGAGGAGGAATAGTCGGAAGTAGAGAATGTAGTGTAGTGACAACTCATTCTTTTTTTATATAGGCGGTTACCATACTCCTCCCATCACACATGTAAGTACAATCAATGATTTCTCCCGTTCATGTATGTGTATGGAAAAATATTCTTATTAACTTTCTTCATCTGATAGCTCTTGCTTGCTATAATAAAGCAACTGTGCTTTGCTTTAGTTTCATTGAAATGTTTAGATCGTCAATTAGTATGATAACTATATAACTGATCATCTTTTTAAACCAATAAAAAAGTTTTTTGTACCATCTACATCGTATACGTGCTTATAATGAACATATCGATTGCGTAGTAAGAATGAAAGCAATTGGAGCAACAGAATCGGGCCATTAATGATGGTGATGGAAGAATAGAGGATACTGAACAATAGGATACAACTGGGTTAATGTCGGAACCAAAGCAATGGGTAACACTAGGTAGTAGGAAGCGGAATAAACGATGATGACCATCGGGATGAAAGTAGATTAACACTAGGTAAACGTCGGCACGAAATGATGGTTGAATATCAGTGTAATATCAGTTGAATATTACACTATAGGAAAGAAAAAACCTTAATATACCTTAAAAAACCTAAAAAAACCTAAAACCTGAAAAAACCTGAAACGGGCAAATTAAGGTATATTCAGGTTTTTTTTAAACCTGAAAAAACCTGAGAAAACTCGAATATACCTTAATAATATCTAGTTTCTCTGATTCGTTTTATTGGTCGGCTGAAGTGTGGAATGCGTTCAACTGTGTTTATGATTGGGTACATACTACATCGTGTCTTATTGGTTGTTGTACGTATAGCTGATCCGTTTGGGAGCATCATTGGATATTTCATCAGCTATTCACATTTCCTCATTGATCCTCTTTCATATTATGTATGCAAAAAACTGATTTCGATTGGATGACAATATGTTTATTATTAGATTTTGCTTTCTATATTAAATCTTTGACAAATCATTTTTGCATGTGTAGTACACAAGCAAATAAGTGTTTAATTCTATTAGTTGCCAACACGACCGCAACAGCGAACACCACGAGCATAACGAGCACCGACGCGAGCAACACTGGTGCTGTCAGTGAAGTCATTAGCAGATCCATCGCATGAACGGGCGCGTTTGCGTGATGTAGTCTCTCTTTTAATTAGGTTGGTATATCATGGATGCTCATTCTATGCCATGCAATATGGATTTTTGATCTACTGTTTACCTTGGCTTAAAGAGAGCAACACACTGGGCAGTTGCGACGCGTCTTCGTCTTCCGACTATTACACTAGGAGCCTTGAACAGTCGTCTGTGTTTGATGTCGACGGCAACGCAACCTCATGGTGTTGACGAACGCTGGTTGAGTACAACCAGTGTGTGTGCTATGAAGTACGTCAAATACATCTGCATTGGTAGAGTATATATACCTTTATTCTGAAAAAACACATGTTTGCTCTTGTGGAGCGCTTGATAATGTCTGATAGCGTTTAAAAACTGTAATATTTTGAAGGTAAGCATTATATACATATACTAGCGGTCCTTCCTCGCTTCGCTCGGATGAATGAGCCCCTCCGCTTCGCTCCGTGTCATTCAACGGAAACGCGTCGCAAGGGGGTTCCCCCCTTGACCCCCAAGTGGGGGCAAGCCCCCCAAACCCCCCTATGGAGCGAGGTTGCATCAGTGTTTCGGTATTAGATGCTTATTGTCTGTTTTCAAAAACAAAAGCAAGATCATTGTGCAGTGCGAAGTGGTCTATCATAGAAAGTCGTCAAAGTTGGATACTTAACTATCTCCAGTTTAGAATGCAATGCGAAAAGAAGTGTTGACAAAGATGATGTAGTGATATTGATAAAAAGAGAATAGGCGATGTAAAAATAGAGTAGGTGACAAAAAGAATTATAGAAGAACTTCGTGAAAAACAACATTTCTTGTGCTTTGGCCTTGCTGACCCGCGATACGTGAGTTCTCAGGATCTAACATGATTCTGATGGATGAAGGGGTGCGGACGCGCGACATGGCTACATAGAGTAGACCATGCGTGAACGGAGATTCAGGCAAGTAGAGGCCGACAGTGTTGAAAGTTTGACCCTGTGCCTTATTGATGGTCATAGCGAATGCCAGGTGAACAGGGAATTGGGTGCGTTTGAAGAGAATGGGCGAGCGTGTTTGCGATGGTGTGAGTGTTATGCGAGGGATTAAGACAATGTTGCCAGCATGAGGTCCAGTGGCTATTTCAGCTTCAAGTACATATCTTTGAAAAGAGCGTACAATCAGCCATGTCCCGTTGCAGAGACCACTTTGGGTGTGCAAGTTTCTCAAAAGCATAATTGGGCAACCGACTTTGAGTTTTAGCAAGTGTGGTGGGAGGTCGGATGGATTCATGGAATTGAGCAGCTCTGGTGGGTATGTGATTTGATCCTCTGGATCATCCACAGTATCTGCGCTCAGGAATTCGTGGATAGTGCCTAGGAAATGGTCGAGTATCAGATCGTTGATTGCTGAAACGTCGACATTTTTTGGAGTTAGAATGGAGCGACTGATGAGGTAATCGCGATCCACGTGTGGTGCGTCAAGGCTGCCGTAAATGGCTTCGATGAGCTCGTATCGAACGCGTAAAGAGACTGTGAAGGAAAGAAAGGAGGAGGAGATTGAAAAGATTTCCTTTTTTGTGAGTTATAAATCGTAAAACTGAAGGATTTTAATAAATAGATACCGGAAACGCTAATACTCCTAGTATGTACTTACTGATTTTTGGTAGAAGCCGCCCTAGGCAACGCGTTTCTTGTAAGTTATTGCGCGATCCCCCGAAGTTGCAGGATTTTGTTTGTAGCCCAACTGTTCACGCACGCAGCCAAGGGTGCAGATATTTAGCATGCGCTCTATAAATCTTGTTGCGCCTTCAAGGTCGTCTCTGGTATCGCTGACCAGCTCGTTCTAAGCAAATCAATATCAGGTTTGCTGAGAATACCATCGACCATTATCCCAGATCGTCCCCATATGTTGTCCCTGATATTGACTTCGTCGCTGCGCGTGATATCCAATTGGTGCTCCCTGACAACGTCGTGGCACAGACTGGTCAGCTCCTCCACTACAAACTTCGTCTGTGAGTCGACTTTGCGTTTGTAAGACCGTGTCAAGAGCATGCCGTCGAACAGCCCAGAAGAAAACGCTCTTGATACGGAGCTGGAAGATTCTACAGATGGACATGAAAGGACAGCACTGTACATCCCCAACTATAAGAGTTACTGATGTGGAAAGATCATCCAACGCCTTACTGTGACATCAACTTCCCTTGTCAAGGAGCCGACCGACCGTGCAAGTGCAAGCATTGAATCGTTATTGTTTTTGATAGCGTTAAGAATTGATGGGGTTTGAGGATTCATGTGAAGTTGTTTCTGTGTGATGTTTTATTATTAACGAAAGAGGAAACGGAATAAGAAAAGGAACGATTTTTTTTTCAAACGGCAAGATGAAGCATACAAGGAGAGGCAAGGTCAAACAAATGAGGAGAAAAGGATCAACTTTGTTTTGATACTGCCTAAAATGGAAATCACCATAGATACCGCAGTTCACCAAGAAGTTCGTTGTCTCGTTTGTGACCTGCAGACGTAGTGACGCTTCGATGTACTTTCAATACTGCACACCAGCTGTTTGATATGCTTTACATTAACAACTCCATCGTGCGATACAGCCACATGCCACTGTCATTAGACTTTTCAGCGTCATATACTTTCACCAAGGCAAATAATCTGGCAGCGTCTACATCATAATGCTGAAAGTACACCATAACTTCACCAATACGTATAAGCCTGGACTGCTGAACGCGATTGTTACCCTGCCAGCTGTTGGTGTTAATGATCAACCGCAGGCAGCATAAAATTATTCTTCCGTGATAGAGAAGGTGTTGACATATTGATGAGATGAAAAAAAAATGTGGTCAGGTGTGTTGGAAGTTTCATTTGGTACAACAACGGTGGTCCTGGTTGAACTAAATTCAGGTTTATTCAGGTTTTTTAAGGTATATTAAGGTTTTTTTTCCTACAGTGTTAGGTGAATATCAGCAGATATTCACTGGTCGAATATTAGTTGAATATCGCGAATATTCAACGTCGAATATCAGTTGATCATCAGTTGAATATTCGCTTATGTTTTCGGTGAATATCAGTTGAATACTAGTTGAATATCAGCTAATATTCAACTGATGTTCAACCGTTTTTAAACGTTTAACACACACCGTTTTTCCCAGTGATAGTAAAGCACGCATTGTGACAAAACGCCGCGGTAGTGAATTTTTCGATTTTTTCGAAACGCGAAGCTTAACCAAACAATTTTTCTTCTTGACACTTTTACAAAATGTTGTTCGAGAAGACGCGACATCACAAGCTTTCCGAGTTCCAAGCAGTTGTTCTTGCCGGCTATGGAAGTACTAATCGGTAAGAGAGAGACGGCTCGAAGAACGTTTGTGAAAAAAAAGACAACAGCGAAGACGATCGTAACCTGTGTGTGCGTGTAGTTTATATCCCATTTCCGAGGAAGACAATGTACCTAAAGCTTTATTACCAGTCGCCAACAAACCTATAATCTCATATACCTTAGATTGGCTTGAGAAAGCTGGTATACATGGTACTGATTCTGGTTCTATTTCCAAAGATGTGTGGCAGTAAATATAAATTGTTGTTAATTCAAATCGATCTTGCACACATGAAACCAACTGTTACTTTTTTTACCTCCACTCCAGACGCAATCTTGTTGGTTCAAGCTTCGGGAGCAGCTCACAGTAAGCTTTCAGCATATATCGCACGTGGCTACCAAGGAAGCGTGCACTGCAACGTTGTCGCCGTGGACGAGGATTTTGGCTCTGCTGATGCACTACGATCGATAAAGGATAAAATAGAGGTAAACTTCTTCTCACAATGTATCTGTTTACTTTGTATGCGAAAAGAGCATAATTCATGATTATGTATTGTTTTCTTTAGCGCGACTTTATCGTTGTGCCTTGTGATCTCATTACGGATTTAAACCCGAGAGAAATATTGGATGTCCACCGAGTGGAAGATCCAACGATGACGGCATTGTTCTACGAATCAAGCTTATCGGAAACTGGAAAAGATGATGGTATGTATATCTGTCAGACGAGGATACTCTTTAGGATTGAGATCAAAGAGCTGACACATAACTTGCAAAACACTTTTTTTTCAGCACTTGCACCTTATGTAGGAATTGAACCTGTTCAATCATCGCTGGTATACAAAGTTCGTCGATCCGAGGACGAGGATTTCTCTATGCGCATGTCTTTATTAAACAAGTATGTGGGGCAACAAAAAGAGCTGGACTTGGTTATTCAAAGATGACTCATCTATATTTGCCTTTTTCAAGATTCCCTCGTGTACGAGTACATACGGATTTATATGATGCACATCTATACATCTTTAAACGATGGGTTTTGGATATGGTCGCTGATAAGGAAAATATTTCAAGTATCTCTGAGGATCTGATTCCAATGCTTGTCAAATGTCAATATCAAAAGACGATGGTAGAGCGCGAAAACTTAAATAACTGTAAGTGCTTGTAGAATTTGTCTAGTGAGTAAAGAAAATACTCAATTACTTTCCACAACAGACGCATCAAAACATAAGACTTTGTTTAGCACCGCACTATCACTATCAACCACGGCATCTGAAGATATTGATGACGATTCGTTTTCATCGGACCCTACTCGATCCAAGTTCAAAAGTCCTGTCACCACCCGCGCTTATGTATACCGTGGAGGATTCTGTGGACGTGGTAACACGGTTGCTGGTTATAATGAATTGAATCGTCATGTAAGTGGAGTATGACTTTAGGAAAATTATGCCTGGAAGAATGCTTTGGGATCGTTTTTCCTCTTGCTAACTGTCAAGCGTTGAAAATCTTAACTTAGGAAACCAAACAAGGGGCATCTATCACCCGCATTCCATCCAGTGCTGAGGTGGCACCAAAGACACAAGTGGGCAGCGACTCTATTATTGGCGAGCATACTAAAATTGACGAAAGATCTTCAATCAAAAAATCATGTGTTGGTGCCCATTGTGTTATTGGCAAGAACGTAAAGATTGCTAATTCGGTTATTATGGACCATGTGGTGATTGCTGACAAGTAAGTTTGAGAAAGTGGGATAAAGGAAAGCAACGATAAGAGTGAAGATTCAAAGAGGAAGAATAACTGAATCCACTTTTGTACATTATATTAGTGCAAAGGTGGATGGATGTGTTATTTGCAACAACGCTAAAGTACTAGAGAAGGCTGTGCTCAAAGATTGTGATGTTGCTGGTGAATATGTCGTTGAAAAAGATAGTAAGTTTTGTTTCTTATGGCCGCGAATTCATCTTTCTCATGGATTGGCTTTCCATTCACAAGATATGATAAATTCTCATCTGTTTGTCGTTTCCGTCTTTTCTACTTTGTAGGTCAAGTTAAAGGAGAAAAGCTTGTCGCTTTCCGAGAAGCTATTAACTAAAATATTTTTGTAATTTATAAAATGATGTGTATACAATTTCTTTTCTTCTCTTCTTGTTTGATCACTTGCCGTAATCTAAATTGATAGAATGAGGAGGAAGCTTGTCGAGTGAAATTGTAACCAATATTCGACGTATCAAGATAGGGAATGGATAAGTGGGTCTATCTGGTGTATGAAAAATGCTTGTTGATGTTCCTCAGACATATGATGATTACGTGTTCAATAAGAATATAGGAAGTAAGTCATCCCTCGAGTAGCAGGACAACAAACAACAATAACCACAGCAGCAGCAGCACAATTATGATTTTTTATGTATCATCATAAAGAATTTTCATGAGTTCATACTTTGTACCATGTTAAGACGCGTCATCCGAAACATAGGCAATTGGTGCCGTAGATGGGTCAAAAAAGCTATCATATTCAGAAGAAACAAAATGAAAAAAATGAGTCGCTACTAAAAAAGACGAGATTTTTGCAGCGCGTGTGGTAATCCTCATAATATGTACGTTTTCATGCAAGCCAAGATCGGACGAAGTAGCCGTATCAAGCATAGCGACAAAGATAGTCATAACGGTAAGGTTTTTAATAGTAGCGACAGTAGCTGCAACAACAACAACAACAACAAAAGAAATGCTCAGTGTCTCCTCGCCTTGTTGGCAGTACTGGAATAATGCTTGACAGCGCTAAATGAAAAGTGGAACATGAAGCTCTCCATTAATCAAATTAACCACTGACATAGTGACGAACCTGAGTGCAGAGGCGCAGAAGATGCAATTGAGTAACTCCTTGAAGCAGCGATCACAGACAAATCGGGTTTGAGAAAAATAATTCAATATCTAGCAAGCGAAAGAGCTCTCTGAGGAGACGCGACACAAGCACCCGTATCCTGTTATGTGTTGCCCTCTACTTGACTTCTGTTTCATTTTTATATTTATCACTCCGTCGAGTATTTGGTGCTGTATCTTTGCTATGTGATAAGCTTAAGATTATATGCTGTTCACGGTAAGATCTTGCGTCAAGTATCCAGCTGTGAAATAAACACCCAGCCAACAAACGCTTGGTTGCATCAATACAAAGTCACATTCGATTATGTTAGAAAAAAGTGACAAGATGTAGAATGCTTACCATCGGTCAGTCTTCGTATAATATACCAAAGATGATGTTACAGCGACCATATATTATCTTATAAAGTAACCAGTGTTGTGACTAATCACTTATCATACGATTGTAGATTGTGCACTGCAATATCCTGCTTACAGCGATCAATAATAATAAAAACAAAGGTGTTTTTTCTCAGACTTCCTCAATGAGCCACAAACATGATGAATATTCGTTAAGATTCCCTTGATTCACTGTCTCTACTTTTTTAACTGCAGGTGTTCGATCCATTATACAACCATCACTTTGCTGTAGTAAATATGAAACCAAACAGTGCGGAACATCTCAACAGCCGTTACTTAGTTTTCTTTTATTTACATGATTTTTCACAGCTCAAATACGCACAGGCTGTTTGATCCGTCAAGAGCATCCTTGACATTTTGTGGTGGATTCAGGCCAAGCTTTTGTGCTCTGTCTATGTAATATATGTTCCATGTTTGTTATCATTAGCAAATGTCGATCCAAACCCAAACCCTTTTTTTCTCTTTGACAAACGGAAAACAGGAAAGGGGTGCTACATACACCATCTTTCTGCTCGAGTTAATCCAGCACAAGGTCCGTACTGATAGTCGAGATCAAACTTGCGTAACAAAATATCGGTTTGACTCATGTGTTCCTGGTGGACTTGTTATTGTATAGCAGTGAGCTGTCGTATGGTTACACGGCCTCTAATGTAAGTGAAAATTATATAAGAGAGACTTACTGCCAGGTTTAATATACTCAACCGCGCTTTGCGGTTTTTTGGTTTTGCGGTCGTCGTAACCATTGTCAACGTTATCCATGTCACTGACGTCCAATGGTTTAACGGTCTTGGTCTCTTGCGGATCATTATGCTTCTTGATTGTCCGAGGTTTACGATCGGTGATCCTCGACTGTTGTTGGGGTTTTTTGCCAGTAGCTCTGGCAGAAACCGTTTTTCTTTTTGACACTCTTCGAGGTGGCATGAAGTATGAAAGAAAAGAGAAGTCAAAGAAAGAAGGAAGTTTAAAAAAGCTACTAAGCTACTGCAACAGTGGTTTCGGAGTTTTTGCTGCATGATAGGGCTGGTTGGTAGTGCTTGGTGCGCAGTTGTCACACACTAGTGCGCATACGCATTATATACTTATTTTCTGTTCTCGAGCCAGGGACACACCACTCTTCTTCTTCTCTTTACTTTTCTTCCGAAAATGTACTTTATTCTGAAATTGTTCATGTTGCAAGTGTACCCAGCATATTCTTGCTTCAAAGCAATCAAGGTCAATGACCAGACACAATTTCTACCGTTGCTAATGTACTGGATAACAGCAACGTCATTTCTTCTCAGCGAGCACTTTGCTGACTTGTTACTTTTCTGGTAAGCCAAGAACCACTTTCCTAACTGAAAAGCATACGGCACGTTTCAATAGCGTACTTAACAAAAAATTTCGATGTGTATATAGGATACCGTTTTACACCGAGTTCAAAGTATTGGTCGTTTTATGGATTACGTTACCACAAACTAAGGTCTGTTATTGTTCTATTCATCTGCATGAAATGTTAGTCAAGAGCCGACTCATTAACTGTTTATCTGTGTACGCCTGGTACAAATGTTAACACACGCAATATAGGGTGCCATTGTGTTATATGCAGATTTTATCGAGCCGTTCCTGAAAAAGCATGAAGACCGAATTGACAAGGCATTTATCGAGATACAAGACAACGTCAAGCGCACGATAGCCGTATATGGCAAACAGCTACTTCACATTGTCAATAAGATTCTTGCGGATTTATTCACTAAGGTATTACTTGACGAAAACAAGATGGAAAGACACGTCCATGTGTTTCCGTGTTGAAAATATTAATATTTTCTATGTTTTTTTTTGGGATGTGATAGCAGGGACGATCGATGATATCGGATGATGCGAATAATACAATGGCGGCAGAATCTACGGCGACACCGGTAGAACAACAATCACGGTCGGAATGGGATAATGGTTGGGGTTATGCGATTTACTCATCTTTAATCAGCCGAGGTGCTCAGCTGTCTGCTAGTTTACAGGCATCTGCACAAAATCGTAAGCATATCTACGTATAACAAAGATTGACTCGAATGTTACATTTCACAAGTGGAATTGACTGGATCTATAGGGCTGAACAACCAACAACAACAAGCCACTGCTACTGCACAACAACAATCACAGGAGGAAGAAAAAGGAAAGCTTGAACGATCTGATAGCTATGACTCGCTAGGATCTTTTGTAGCATCTAAAAAGGCACCGAGCAACAACAGCAGCAGTTCAGGTGCTAGTGGAGCAGGAACAGAAGGACCGAAATCACAAGAACAGCAAAATGCCTCATGGGGGGGCTATTTAGGTGGATGGATCTGGTCATCTGGCAATAGTAATCGTGCTACTGCTGCAAGTACCCCGGACAACACCAACAAGAATGAGACAACTCAACATGCGAAGACAGATTGAGTATATTCATCATTTTTTTTCTTACGCTTATCCATATATAAACCCCTACCCTTTCCTTCCCGCCATCCTTCTATTTGCTCCATTTCTCTTCATTTTCTCCTCCTGTCTCTCACAATAGTATATGATATATTCCCAAACAATGGCAACAAACATATATACAGCAACAACCGAAAGCCATTGTACTTGCAAATATACATCCCGTCATATATTACTGTAAACTACGGCTACTATCCATGTCGTACATCATACAAAAACTCCTTGACAGCATCTGCTGTACCAAATGCTGCGCAAAATGTTCCCACGATAGCGATTAGAGCGCAGATCACGAGTTCCCATGTTTGTCCATCCTTCCATGAGAGTCGTATCCAGAATATGCAAGGCAATATAAATGTTAATGATTCAGCTGCGATAGTGCCTATCAAGCTCATTACGTCGGAGAAGTAAGGAATCAACATGGCAATCGAAGCACAAAAACATATTTCAAGAACGCGTAACCCGATCCGCGTTATCGATGGGTGCTGTTGTAATCGTCGAATCACCATATTGTCACTTGTTGATATGTTATCGTCATCATCGTCGTCCTTGCCTTTGTCTTCCTCATCGCTGCCTTGATCTCGACGATCTTTGTCGCCTTTGTTGTGGCGGTCTTGCAGCCTTCGCTGCCGTCGTCGCACGCCTAGCCATGATTCGACACTGTATGTAAACACATATAAATACATGGGAACTGCTAATAATACATGGACGGTGGCAACTAGCATAGCAACATTCAGGGCAGATGAGCCTAAACAAATAAAAATTCACATTCAACACATCAGGTTTATATGATTAACCCTGGAGTTATGCGGCTGCTGCCATCATCTATTGTCACTGGCCGCTACAGAATATGTGTAAAGGGACTACCTTCAGGGAGCGTGTTGTAAACAGGCGTTTTTACTTGGTTACCATAGGACAAATAACACAAGGATCCCATTAACACATATATGACAGTAACCGAAAAAGTAGCCACCAACAAGACTTTGGGCCAACTAGTGCGATCTATCATGGACGCTTCCAAATGCGGAAAGATTACATTGCCGCAGTACGAAAAACTAAACGTGCTGAAAGCAATCGGTATATTCTCGGCAATAGCCCAGTCATGATGCGTGTTTGCTTCGTTCTCCTGGAAATCTGACACAGCCACAATCGTCATGACCAGCACCAAGCATACTGTCGCCATGCTTGCGAAAAAGCTATAAAAACATACATTTACATTTTGTGTATTGTGTTAGTCCACAACAGCAGCACTAAGTTTGACAATAACATAGCTCTATAAGGCCTAGTACTACTGCCAGCATATCTTTTGTTTTCTGGCTTTTACTCACACCTCATGAATGAGACGTCACGCATGGTCCTGGTCAGCGCAAAAGGAACACCGACCGTGGCAGATACGATCCAAGTGCACACTTTGCGATCCAAATGAAGGCCAATGACCGAAAGGAGCTTGGATACATTGTCGCCAGCAAGAATGATGTAGAGTGTTGGTGTCAATATCAGCAGTATCAAAGAAAATAGGCCACCCACAATCTGGCCGAGCTTGCCGAACGTTGCCAAGCCGATCTCGGGAAAGCCGGACAAGCGACGAGATCTAGAGCAAACGTTATGCATTGTTTTCCGATATTCCTAAGTGATACACCACCCCTATCCTTTTTTTTATTAATAAAGTTATAAAATGCTTACTGGCCATGGTATAGACAGCGGATTAGCAAGCAGCCACAAAACTGCGCCATAACAGAGCTAAGCACAAGAAATAACAACCCAATCCACCCGGATCTGCTGAATGCATGAGGAATACCAAGAATGCCTGTGCCCGCAACTACACATCTAGATATGTAATGTTACCGTCATCGCTAGTTACTCCATTAAACATATTATTGCTACGGAACGCACAAAAACGAGAATGCGGTCTGCCGTTACAATAATGTACGTACATAATACTTGCCAAAGTTGATGTATTTGATACTTTGACAACTGGCAAATCAACGTTACCGCTGCTCGTAACACTGTTGGTATCGATGACGCGCTGCTGCTGCTGTTGTTGTTGTTTAGACCTATACAATGCTTGTTTGCCTTTATCACGAGGTTTTGTATCGTCTTCGTCTTCGTCTCTTATTGTGTCAAAACATGGTGTTGCTAATGGAACATTCAGCAATGTTGAAAGCAGATACAATTCATTCGGAGAAGACATTTAGAAGAAATTACATGTGCTGATGATTTGATCAAGGGTAGTAACGTCAATACTCTTTCGTTGTCGTTGATGAATATCGTCGCTTTCCATTCGAATTAGGATAATGATGTCCTCTACTGCTTTAGAAAGAAAGAGAAGTGAAAATCCATTTAGTTATCCCTCTCTCTTTTAAACTATAGTAGCTGCGACAGTAGCAGCATGGCTCGATCGATTTTATATCGGGCTGGAAACAATAACGCCGGGCATAGCCCGGTGTACACTGTTTCCAGAGCTCTTGTCGGAAAGTAAATACAGCCAATGACGAGAACAGAATTCATGGTGCACAACAAATAAATTCGCCCTGGTGGAAAATGATTTCATCAGATGGCAAGAACAAAATTCATGTTGTACGAAATGTAAATTCGTATTCGCTGACAAATAGGATGTCCTGTTGCCAAGAATATTTAGCCTTGGCATCATTGGATATAAAATTGCACACCAAGTGCTCCTCTTCCTTTTATTTCTCTTCCACAATTACACCCAAACCGCATCATAATGAACATTCAATTCTTGTATGAAAATGGGAAAGGTTCTGTCGTCGACGAGTATGGCAGGGCTGAACCGATGTATTATATTGTTGATGAGGAGCAGTTTCGTCTTGAAACATTGAGTTCTCATACACAATACTTAGCTCAACTACCTCTGGAGAACGAGAAAACGGTAGAGGCAATGCAAGTGGAAAAGGAGGTAAAGCCTGGCAGTGATCTTGTTATGGGGGAAACATCTATGAAGCGAAATTATACACGCTATTCTGATCAGGATAAAGTGAGGTTCTTTAAGCTGTTGTTTGAGAAATGTCTGAGCGCGGCTGCTGCTGCAAAACAGCTTGGGATTCACGTTCGTACAGCGCAAAAATGGGCTGAACAGTACGAGAGGGATCCTGATAATATCTTTGAGAAAAGGAGAAAGACTGGTCGTCCACGCATTCTCAATGAGGAGCACAAAAACGTTATTCTTGAGTGTATTGATGCGAACCCTTCAGTCGTCTTGGACGACCTGATGAAGCACTTACGACAAGTATTCACAGAATTAAAAGTATCCAAAAGTACCTTGTTTGATTTTGTAAAAAAGCACTGCATCTTGTCTCTCAAAAAAGCTCGTTTTCAACCCGTAGATCGGAACAGCGAGGAAAAGACTCAAGAACGCCTGGATTGGATTCATAAATGGGAAAAAACAGACATGGATTTTACGACCAACTGCGTCTTCCTTGATGAATCTGCATTTCATATTAATTTGAAACGTAGTATGGCATGGTCAAAGAAAGGCTCCCCTGCAGTGGTCACAGTTCCCAAAACACGAGCAAAAACAACAACCATTTTAGGTGCAATTTCTGCCCAAGGTCTGATTAAATGTAGCCTCAGGCTTCCTCAGCCTCCATCCAATAAAAAGAGAAAGCGAGGAGAAGACGTTGGGCGTGTGAGCAAAGGGACAGTTACGGGACACTATGTTAGTTTTCTAAAAGCCACGATGGATGAAATGGACCAGTATCCACATATGAAAGGCCATTACCTCGTGATGGATAATGCTCCAATCCATACATCGGTTGATATAGCTAAATATGTAGAATCTCGCGGTTACCGCTGTGTCTATTTGCCGTCCTATTCTCCTGAACTTAATCCAATTGAACAGTTTTGGTCAGTGGTTAAGAGTAAAGTCAAACGAAACAAGCTACTGGAAACTGAGACACTTATGACAAGAATCAGTGAGGCATCTAATAGTTTGACGCTGAGCGATTTTAAAGGGTTTGTTGGGCATTCTCACAAATGCTTGGACAAGTGTCGTAGCAGGCAAGCACTCTGAAGATCTTATTCATGGTCAATGCAGTAAAAAAAAAAAAAAACTCGCACAGGATTTCCACCAAAGGATTGCGGTTGCGCCGTGAATATAGCACCGAGTTGCGTTTGGCACCATTTACTATAGGCTTTCTAAATCGACCCATGATCACCATATACAACCTTTCGCTGATGGAATGGCATGTCGACGAGCTTGTTCATCCCATAATTGGCGAGCCGAAGTCCCAACAAATGTGGTATTCGTGTTATCTGTGCTATCCGTGCTATCCGTGCTATCCGTGCTATCCGTGCTATCCGTGCTATCCGTGCTATCCGTGCTATCCGTGCTATCCGTGCTATCCGTGCTATCCGTGCTATCCGTGCTATCCGTGCTATCCGTGCTATCCGTGCTATCTGTGCTATCTGTGCTATCCGTGCTATGTTCCCATATGAAACAGAAATGTATGACAAGGTTTGGATTATGGTCCTGTTCCTGAAATCATCTCCTGAACTGAAACCATCTGTTGAGGCGTATGGGTGTGCTTTACTATTTTAAAATGCCGCTTTTGTCTAGTAAATCCCGCCACAACTGGCGATTTCTTTATCATTGTTTATCAGCAACAGTTTTGTGCCATGACGATAGAACAAAAAAGCCATGACGATGACGGTGGTAAGTTAGGATATTTGTTATACTCCTTTATTTTTGTTTTTTCTTCCTTCCTTTTGTTTAACTGGTTGTGTTTTGTAGTGTCTGACGAGATTCTCACATTTCGATTGCCCAACGATCAATTGCCAGGGAAAGACCAATTCAGCAAGCAAATGTTAAAACTCAAGTCGTGATTGACCTTGTGGTCGGCGAATTATTGGACGTTCCAAACAGAATATACACGTCAGCAGAAACAGAATGGCAGAAGGCATCGCGAAGCGATATACTTTATAAGCCTCGGTTGGCAATCCAAAACTCGCTTCCTCCAATCCTTATCGAAAATCAACTCACTGTCAATGAACCTTTTATGCAACGCCTTGTCAGCTATTCACAAAGCGCTTTGAGCATCTACAAAACATATCCTATCGTTTTAATTGTTTGCACCGATCGCGTCTCTCCTATCCAACTTATGGCAAAGTTCAAACTTATTTCTGGAAAACCTTGGATGTCTTCACTCCTGGCCACTGATTATGGGGGTTAATCCTTAACCATAAATCAAAAAAGGTTTTATTAATTAAACGTATATCATTGTTTGGAGGAATATTAAGAAAGGTTCGTTACATAAACATTCAAACTCAATTGATTTTAAAAATAAAAATTGAATTTTGTATAATTTAAAAAATAAGATATAATAATGTTTATTGAACCATTCAGAAAACTAAAGGAAATCTTTGATAATGAAAGATTAGCAATAAATTATCTATTAGATAATAATTATATTAATAAATATGAAAAATGTGATATACAGTCGACCCCCGTTAACGTCAACCCTCAGGGTACCTGCAAAAGTGTTGACCATATCGAGGGTTGACGACTACCGGGAGTAGCGAGATTAGGCAAAATGTTTATCCTTGCAGACACTAAATGAATCACTGCTTCCCGACATTATAAATACACATATGAAAATGTTGTCAATCTTCAGTCCTACATCTCACTTTACGCCATGAGTACACCACGCGACCAAGTTTCCTTTACGAACGAGCAGCGTGATGCGATTTATGCGTTTAAGAGCTCAAAGCGGGGCATCACCCTTATGCAGACGGCAGAATGGGCTCAAAAAGAATTCAACCTAAGTAAAACGCCTGATAAGAGCACCATTTCGAAGATGATAAAGCGAAAATCCACAGAAGCTCCTGGTGATGAAAGGGACGCGAAGAAAATTCGTAATAGAAGGAGTCAATTTCCTGTAAATATCGAATGTAATTCAATCAGTTTAAAAATTCGGTGAACTGTAGTGTTTACTTTTTGTCAATCTTGTATTGATTAGGAGGTTGAGGAAGCAGTGTTACTCTGGCTCAATGTCGCGCAGAGAAACAAGATCCAGGTTACATGGGAATTGATACAGTTGAAGGCGAGAAATTACGCGGACATGATTGGCATCGCAACATTCAAAGCATCGAATGGCTGGACAGACCGGTTTGCAAAGAGATACGGACTCAGTGCACGCAGCATCCATGGCGAAGCGCAATCTGCCGATCTTGAAGCTTTGGACGAACAGAGGGAAGCCATTAAGGCCACCATCCAAAAGTATGAAAAGCGAGACATCTATAATCTAGATGAAACCAGTCTGTTTTATCGCTTGGAGCCAAAGACGACGATCGGCACTCATGGGTTCAAGGGGAGAAAACAAGACAAATCAAGGTTGTCTGTTGCTCTCCTTTGCAATGCTGATGGCAGTGACAAACGGAACGAACCTATCATCATAGGCCGCTCTGAAAAACCTGATGCATTCATGGTTCAAAAAAAACGCAAAGATGCTTCTTTCCATGGATTCCAGCGCTACTTTTTCAATCAGAAGGCGTGGATGACTCGTAAAATCTTCAGAGATGTTTTGCGTCAGTTCGATCGAGCCATGGGCCACCAGAACAGAAAAGTACTTTTGCTACTTGACAACTTCTCAGGTCATTACGTCGATTACGAACCTGTTAATGTTGAGCTACTCTATTTGCCTCCGAACACAACATCACTTATCCAGCCTCTTGATGGTGGAATCATTCGCTCGTTCAAGGCTCAATACAAGCGGCGACAACTTGAGAAGGCTTACCGCACCATCGGAATGTATCAGAACGGAAACGGGAATGTTGTGGGACCTGTCGGAAAAGTTTTTCTTGTTGACCAGCTGCAAGCAATGAAGTGGATAAAGTTCTCGTGGGCAGCTGTGTCTGCTGAAACGATCAAAAATTGCTTTGATGCAACCATCTTTCGATATATCAATGACAATCACGAAGCCCAAGGAACTGCTAGGAGCCAAATCGAAAAAGAAGACGAGCGTGACAGGAAGGTGCTGGAAGCTCAATTACGACGAATCGCCGATACACAACTTGTTACATTAAATCAGTGCCCCGACATCGACCTTGATCCCAAGTATGAGCGCGATTCGTATCTCTTTTCTCTCACAGATAGTGAGATTGTTCAAACAGTGACGGCAGTTGCTGAAGATGATGACACCCCAGATGTTGACGAAGAGCCAGTTTTGCAGGAAAGAAGAGTACTTACTGCTAAAGACAAAGTTACCAACGTCAACACATTTCTCGATATTTTGGATGAAGAGCAAGATCTACATGATACCGTTGTGAATGCTTTACCTGAAATTCTGAAACTACGCGACAAATATATAAAATCCATGTATTCTAAGCAAGCCTCTTTGACAAATTTCTTTGTACCACAATCCCAATAAATGTAATCTAATTGGACAAGTTTCACCCTCGATAACTAGTCAACCCTCCTGAAGGTGTTGAAGTTGACCTTATGTAGAAGTTGAAGTTTTTCACTGCTAAATTTGAAAGGGTACCAGCGAATCGGTTGATGCTATCGGGGGTTGACGTTATCGGGGTGGACGTTAACGGGGGTCGACTGTATGTGATAGAGAAACAAGATTTGATTATAAAAGAAAATTATTTATTTGTCGAAATTATAAATGTGAAAAATCTAAATCACCATTTTCAGGTACAATTTTTATTAAAAAAAAATTTCCCTATTAATATTCAATTACATATACTTTATGAGTTTTTAAAAAAGTCTACAGGATCTAGTATATCATCTAGCCTAGAAATTGATAAAATCACTGTTTCTTCTTATAAAAAAATATTTAGAACACATATAAGAAATAAACAATTAATAAATAAAAAAAATAAAATTGGTGGAAGAAACCATAAAGTAGAAATTGATGAAACAAAAATTGGAAAAAGAAAATATAATAAAGGTCACAGAGTAGAAGGTGTATGGGTAATAGGAGGTATTGAGAGAAGTAGACTAAAAAATAAATTACCATATGAAAATAAAAAACTTTTTATGTGTCCTATTTTAAAAAGAAATTCTGAAAGTATAGAAAAAATTATTAATAAACATGTTAAAAAAGGCACTACAATTTATACTAATTTATGGAAAGGCTATAAAAATATTAATAAATTAGGTTATAAACATAGCACAGTTAATCATTCAAAGCATTTTAAAGATCCTATTACAAAAATTCATACAAATAATATAGAAAGTTTATGGAATGCAGTAAAACAAGGTATACCTATTAGGAATAGAAATAGAAAATTTATATATTTACATTTAAAAGAGTATCAATGGCAAAGAAGGTATAAAGAAAATAATATATGGAAAGAATTTCTTAAAGATTAGATATAAGATATATCTTGGAAAAAAGTTATTATGAATATAAAATTGAATTTAAGTATATAATAAAAATAAATATTATGATTCCATTTGAGGATAGTAATTTTTTAAAAGCTATAAAAAGATGTTATATTATAAGAGAAATGATAAAAAATAAAAATAATAATAAATATGATATTATTGATGCTTATTTTAAATTAAATGATAATGTAATTACGATATCAATAAAACAAAAAAATATTGCAGATGTTTATAAATATTAATATATTCCAAAACAAAAACAAATATTAGATGTTAAAAATAAAGTTAATAATAAAAATATAGATAATATCTGTGAAAAAATATAGAAAATGATTATTGATGAATAGTAAATTAAAAATTTTATAAAAGATGAAACATTTGTGTCACGATCCTATAACGATAATTATCCTCATTGTTTAAACGTATGTAGAAAAAAATAAAAAATTATATTATAATTTTTTAATTTTTGAAATGATTAAGATATTTCTTTTTTATTCTTTTTAATTCCTTAAAAGGTTTACGTTTTGTATAAACCTTTTTAAACCGTTTAAACGTTATATCCTTTTATAATTAATTTAAAACAGGCTAGGAGGTACAACAACGCCCAGTTCAATAAAAAATCAACGGAGTTAGATTTTTTTTAGAACGCTTGACAGTATTAAGAATAATAAATAAATTAGTGGTTTACTACATAATTTATTATTATGAATTGATACTCTTCTGGGCACAAAGCTGCTTCATTGTGTCGAAACTGACTTTATCGAGTATTGCGCCTTCTGATCAACTCACACCCCTGCAGCCTTTGTCCTCATTCCTGACCAAAGCCTCTCCAACGTTATATGGTCATCCCTTTGCTGAAAATCGAACTATTCGACAGTTATATCATATTGCCATGGCCATCTCGGAAAATCAGGTTGAATGCGATAAGGATGTCTCAAATGTGGTAGACATCATTTGCTACAACAACGAGAAAATACTAATGAAGGCTGATGTTGCGTTATTTGGTATATCTAGGTCATCCAAGGCAAAAAATCTGATCGAGCGTGCATTAGTTTTCAATGCGGCTGCCAAAAGAAAGTATTGCCAAACTGTGGACTCGGATTCAGACTCGTCGCTGGATCCGCTGCCAAAGTTGAAGGGAAAGAAAAGGGAAACAATTCAAGATAAAAAACAAGATGACCTTGAATTCGTGATCAACTACCGGAAAAATCTGATTGAAGATGAACTGGAAGACATGCCTGTCAGTTGGCCATGAAAAAAACTTATGCCAAAATTACTCCACTGGTGAATCGCTGTGACGATTCTTATACAACGCCTTTAAAAAATGATTTCCTTTATTCTTTATTCCCTGATTCCCTATATTCCCACTTTCCTTGATTTCTCTCATCGGTGTAGTGTATTCGACTAATGGGAAAACAAAGTCAAAAAAAATAAAAATAACTAGCTGGCCTTGTGATCTTAAAAGATCACACAAACGATTTGATTATACGGTGTTGCGTGGTGTTTTTCTATAGTTCTCTGTGATTACCGTATTTTGGCAATGCGACGTCCAGTTTGGTTGTATTGTGACATTCCCCTCTCTCATACTGTACCTATGGCATATTGCGTTGGCTCGGCCTTCGGCCTCGCCCGTGGCAACAATATAGGCCTATTATACAGTAGGTCCCGCTGCTGTTGCTGGGCCGGGGGTTGCGCAGGTTGGCGTAGTGGCTGGCGTTGCAGCTGTCGTATATAAGGTTAAGAGATAAAACAATAAGAATAAGTAATAAGAAAATATACATATATCAGATAATAAGATGGATAAATAAGACAATAGACTAAGAAGCAACACACAATAAATAATACCACCTATTAAAAATAGGTCAGAGTAAAATACAGATAATATAACAATCAGAGTATATTTTATAGAATCAATACTTGAATAAACCTAGCTACTTTATTTCAAGCATATCAGAACAACTTGATCTAGAAAATATCATGAATGATTATATTATAATATTATTGGATGAAAGAGATCCAATGATAGAGTTGGGGCATGGATAATTTTAGGATGCTTCTTCTCAACAACCGTTCCCTCTATAACATATATTATATGAGCTCACGGTAATAAGGATAGATATCATGTGATCTAACTTATTGATTAAAGTCTGTTCTCAGTGTTGCTCAAGATAGATATCAATAGTAATAGATGTTAGCTCTTAAAGAATAAATCTTTATAGAAAATTGGAAAATAAAAACAACATCTAAGATTTAATTATAAGTTCAAGACCAGAATATTATTAAATCATTCGAAAATAACAGTAGATTAGACACTCCACTGAAACCATATCTAGTTAACCACAGTCTATATATATATATATATATAATAAAACAACCCCAACCTAATCTTATCTCAAATCTGATTCATCATACGATATGCCAATAGATGTTGGGTAAAACTAACCCAACCTCTATTGCTCAGCAACTTTCTCTTATTCTTAAAAATACTTGGCAATATCTTATCATTCGAGGTCTTTTTTGGGGTTTTTTTTCTGATCTTATTTTTTCTTTTGATCTAATAAAAACCACTACATTAATCTCATCAATTCTTTCGTTCTCAAATTAAATCGTGCTTTTTCTCCAAATATCACAGCAGCGCTCCTGATTAATGGGAAAGTTGGCATAGATTCGTCCACATTTCTACCTTGTCATACATTTCTGTTTCATATGGGAACATGGCATGGATAGCACGGATAGCACGGATAGCACGGATAGCACGGATAGCACGGATAGCACGGATAGCACGGATAGCACGGATAGCACAGATAACACGAATACCACATTTGTTGGGACTTCGGCTCGCCAATTATGGGATGAACAAGCTCGTCGACATGCCATTCCATCAGCGAAAGGTTGTATATGGTGATCATGGGTCGATTTAGAAAGCCTATAGTAAATGGTGCCAAACGCAACTCGGTGCTATATTCACGGCGCAACCGCAATCCTTTGGTGGAAATCCTGTGCGAGTTTTTTTTTTTTTTTACTGCATTGACCATGAATAAGATCTTCAGAGTGCTTGCCTGCTACGACACTTGTCCAAGCATTTGTGAGAATGCCCAACAAACCCTTTAAAATCGCTCAGCGTCAAACTATTAGATGCCTCACTGATTCTTGTCATAAGTGTCTCAGTTTCCAGTAGCTTGTTTCGTTTGACTTTACTCTTAACCACTGACCAAAACTGTTCAATTGGATTAAGTTCAGGAGAATAGGACGGCAAATAGACACAGCGGTAACCGCGAGATTCTACATATTTAGCTATATCAACCGATGTATGGATTGGAGCATTATCCATCACGAGGTAATGGCCTTTCATATGTGGATACTGGTCCATTTCATCCATCGTGGCTTTTAGAAAACTAACATAGTGTCCCGTAACTGTCCCTTTGCTCACACGCCCAACGTCTTCTCCTCGCTTTCTCTTTTTATTGGATGGAGGCTGAGGAAGCCTGAGGCTACATTTAATCAGACCTTGGGCAGAAATTGCACCTAAAATGGTTGTTGTTTTTGCTCGTGTTTTGGGAACTGTGACCACTGCAGGGGAGCCTTTCTTTGACCATGCCATACTACGTTTCAAATTAATATGAAATGCAGATTCATCAAGGAAGACGCAGTTGGTCGTAAAATCCATGTCTGTTTTTTCCCATTTATGAATCCAATCCAGGCGTTCTTGAGTCTTTTCCTCGCTGTTCCGATCTACGGGTTGAAAACGAGCTTTTTTGAGAGACAAGATGCAGTGCTTTTTTACAAAATCAAACAAGGTACTTTTGGATACTTTTAATTCTGTGAATACTTGTCGTAAGTGCTTCATCAGGTCGTCCAAGACGACTGAAGGGTTCGCATCAATACACTCAAGAATAACGTTTTTGTGCTCCTCATTGAGAATGCGTGGACGACCAGTCTTTCTCCTTTTCTCAAAGATATTATCAGGATCCCTCTCGTACTGTTCAGCCCATTTTTGCGCTGTACGAACGTGAATCCCAAGCTGTTTTGCAGCAGCAGCCGCGCTCAGACATTTCTCAAACAACAGCTTAAAGAACCTCACTTTATCCTGATCAGAATAGCGTGTATAATTTCGCTTCATAGATGTTTCCCCCATAACAAGATCACTGCCAGGCTTTACCTCCTTTTCCACTTGCATTGCCTCTACCGTTTTCTCGTTCTCCAGAGGTAGTTGAGCTAAGTATTGTGTATGAGAACTCAATGTTTCAAGACGAAACTGCTCCTCATCAACAATATAATACATCGGTTCAGCCCTGCCATACTCGTCGACGACAGAACCTTTCCCATTTTCATACAAGAATTGAATGTTCATTATGATGCGGTTTTGGTGTAATTGTGGAAGAGAAATAAAAGGAAGAGGAGCACTTGGTGTGCAATTTTGTATCCAATGATGCCAAGGCTAAATATTCTTGGCAGCAGGACATCCTATTTGTCAGCGAATACGAATTTACATTTCGTACAACATGAATTTTGTTCTTGCCATCTGATGAAATCATTTTCCACCAGGGCGAATTTATTTGTTGTGCACCATGAATTCTGTTCTCGTCATTGGCTGTATTTACTTTCCGACAAGAGCGAATTTACTTTCTGGAAAGAGTGTATGTATCACTAAGCACTACGTGCCAATCGTTTAATTATGCTGTTATTTCATACGAACGACCACCCGACTGCCTTCGTAAACATCACGAAGAATAATCGAAACAGGGGACGGCTTCTTATATTCTTCACCTTCTCCCCATTCTCCCCACCATCAGAGACGGAAGTAATTACGCGATAAATGAAAAGAAAGCTTGTGATTTGCTTTATTATATGTACATAGGATAGAGATACAGAAAAATCAAAGCCTAATAATGATGTTGTTTGTTGTGCTTATGTGCCTCCTTGGACTGATCCTTTTGGGCAAGGCGTTGTTGATCTTCCTCTTCCAGTTCTTGGTCGATACGAGCGCCTCGGGATTCGTCATATGACTTTTTGATAGGCTCGTCACGCTTCTTCATGAGGTCCTCGACGTTGTCGTACATTTTCTTGTGTCCTTCATTAGGATTTTCATAGTCTCGTCCGGCTTCCATAGCGGCCTCAGTGTGCGCTACAGTGGATCCATTACCATGTCTGCGACTGCTCATATTGATGAATCTTTGTTGTGAGAATATGTGGGATCAATAGAAGAAAAAGACAGAAAAAGTGAAGAACACAAAAATTTGCAAATTGTTGGGCCTCCCTTTTATACACATTGAACCCTTGCTTGGTCTTTCGATCAAAAACTGCTTAATTTAGATAATATGAGACATAGTGACGTATACATGGGTTCATCGTATAACAAACAACGCTATACTATGTACTAAAATAGAAAAAGAAAATTTAATTCAGACAAGGGTATATCGACCATCTGCAGCAGCAGCAATTTCAACAGCTCGGTTTTGATCGAGACTGATTCGACCAGCTTCCAAAATAGCCGTCACCAAAACTGTGTTGCGGATAGTGGGCATGCTGCGTTGATCCAAATCAGTAGGCGTCAAACGTTTGGCATTGACGGCTTGACATGCGTCGACAAATTTTTCAATGGATACATAGCCATATGCCGTCTGGCCACCAAAGTGTCCTTCTTCATCGGGGGCATAATTCATAAAGAACGGATTGATGTGACCATGACCGCTAACGTCGTTGGTAACGGTATAACCTCGATGCGCTTGATCGACATTGAGTTCGCCACCAGCACCTAAGTAATGGAATCGTTGTTGAGAGTGGACCTCGCTCTTGTTGGGTGCAATCCATGAGGAAGTGTATACACCGACGCCTTCATGACCAGGAGTGGCTGTAGAACGCCAGTTCACCAAGAGTGAGATCGTATCCTAGCATCATTACGATGAATGAATATAATAAGCTACTATACCTATCGTTTCCCAGCGAAACAGACGTTACTTACCTCGGTGTTTTCTGTAAGGTTGAAAGGTGCGCTGGTCGCTACACCTTTCGATCCAGATGCTACCACGCGATAAGGCACTGCCTTTCCCTCTAATGCCCAGCAGTGGAAATCGATGTGGTGCGAGTTTAGGTAGTAACTAACAGAAAAAGACGTCACCATTGTGTCAAACTCTATTTCATTCGCGTTCTCTCTCCCTTTTCCCTTTCCTTTTGCAGTAACAAACTACTTATTCCTCCAACCGAAAGTTCCCTTGCGTTACCTGATATCAGACTCCTTGCCTGCCCAGGCGCGGAACGTATCCAGCTGTCGCTTTGGTTGGCTCATGTAGCTGTAGTAATAATTGAATTCGCCAAAAGTCAGCGCCTTGGCACGTGCGTCCCGATACACAGGGTCGAAGCGCTTGTGATGTTCAACCATGACCACGACAGCGTGCTTGTCAGCTTCTTCCACAAGTTCCTGGTGTTGACTTAAGATCTTGACAGCAGGTTTGGTCACTAGTACGTGAATGCCGCGTTGAATCGCATACAATGCAATTGCAAAATGAGTTGGATCGGGTGTGAATACAGTTATGGCGTCACCGGGTGACAGATACTGATCAATGGCCGCCTTGTCTAAACGTATATATCATAATGTATTAATTAGTGAGTGTGTTTTGGTCGTGCCAGCAATATACAGAAGGGAAAACGTGATATGAATAAGAACGTAACTTACAAGCATCCGGGTCCACCTGATCATCGGCAGGACTCGTGTGATCCAAGGCTGTATCCATGTTGTATACTTCGCCAATATTCTTGTTCAAGTGTTCTCGAATAGCTCCCAATTTTTTACCGTTGGTGCCTACAATGCCAATCTTGCCAACTTTGCCGCGACGACGCAAATCAAACATAGTCAGGCCAATTACGCCCACCTATTATTAAAGTTTGCAATTCAATATTATGAGTTTATCTAAGCGACGAGATAATGTTATGTTTGTCTGTTTATTACCTTCTTATCAGAGGTTGATGCAGAACCATTAACGAAGCCAGTAGTATATTCGCCAGTCCCAACCATCAGGACATTCAGCTTATTATTTGTCGATTCTGCCATGATTATTTCGTAGGTTTGTGTGTATTGTGAACAAAGTCTGTGTGTCTCGCGGTGTTTTTAGGCACAGGATTTTACGGGCTTTATATAACATCTCGATTCCCGCCAGCCGGGGAAATTGTTAAAATAAGGCGAATTTATTCGGAGGAAAGGGTCTATGCAAGGACGTCCTACTTACTCAAAAATTCTCCACCTTCAACCACCCTCACTGCATGCGTGATTTCATGTACTTTCCTGACATGCGTCTCGTTCACAGAGTGCATTATTATAGTGTCATATACACTTTTTGTTTTTTCACTTGGTACCTATTTTACATAACCCCGGGCCTTTTACACTAGTCGTAAACATTAAAAAGTGCCCGTTTTTTACGGGTATAAGATATCCCCCGTCAAGGTATTTTGATGTTCAAGCCAACAGTTTATGTACTATTTGCTTTTGTAATTGTTATTAAGTTTTTGATGTCATAACAACAGCATACAATCAATATGAGTTTATGCTTGCTTCTATCCATTCCTGCTATTTCTACTCCAATTTAACCAAGGGTACCATCTCATCTAGAAATAATAATTATAAGCCTTGCAATATCAGTATACCTATGCACCCTTCTCCTGCCAAATTCTTCAAGTTCTAGGTATATAGATTGAGTGATATATAGTACCTGTGACGCTTTCAATTCGCTGTTTCCCAGCAGCCTGCGTCTTAATACGCAGTAACTCCACCTTCGCACCCATGATGCTTGCTACTTCACGGCAAGGCTCAGAATGGACCATCTTAATCAATTACACACATGCCGCATTTAGTCACAATTTTCCCTTTGATCATACGCATACGTAGATACTTAAGGAAAATTAAAGCCTTACCAAAGTTCCAAGAGCAACTAATACACGGTATAGGTTTTCTTCATCTTGTTCAACCTTCAATAACTCCACCAACGAGCCCGCAAGCCCAACTTGACAATCTTCATCCGACTCACTATGCATAGTCAAGAAGACGGCAAAACTATATCGTACGAAAATTTCCATAAGCGTTACTATAAGTGTATAGTTATACGCCATTTTTGTGAAATAAAATGAAATAAGGTAGCTTAACTTACTTTACTGCTAATGTGCTAATTGCTAAGCGAGCAGTCTTTGCATTATAGGCACCAAAGACATCAGGCTGTAATACTTCTGCAACAGTGTTGTGTTTCGCCCACACCAATTCTCTTCCAGCAGGTTTGATAAACAAGTTTGACAATCCCCGGTAAGCAAGCATTGCGTTGGTCACAGCGACCTTTTCACTCGATGGCTTGTCGAGTCCACCCACTTGGCGTAAGAAGCCGATAACGTCGTTATCAGGAACCACAGCGCTGATCGACTCGGGTGTGTACAGAACAAAAAGTCGTAACAGATCCAAGGCTGGGAACCGCTTTTCTGGTGGCCATGTGTAACATAGCTTGACCAAAATCTCAATACCGTTCACATTCACATTTCCACTGGATGGATTGCTCAGGTATGCTAGTGACATGGACAAGGTATTCATGTCATCACCTGATAGCTTCAAAGAGCCCATTTCACTGTCGTTTGATTGTAGTTTGGACATGACGGCGTCCAAGTTTGCTTGCTTAAGGGAAAGATAGGTAGTCTAAAAAGAAGAAAATATATATATTACAATGCGAATATTAACCAAATACACTGCGTGTAGCTATCCATAGCGGTTGCATCTTTGTTAGTATATGTCTTACCAGCGGTAGGATTTTTTGTTTTGGTACAGGTGATTTGGTCTCAGTAATCATTTGTGTAGACTGGCCTCGGTAAGAGGAGCTACCTGATTACACCCGGTATCCATAAATTAGCTTGGCTTCGTATGGTATAAGAAGGTGTACATGCGTATCTAGTTTACCTGTGAATGGATCCATAAACTGATTTGGTGGAGGGTTTCCAAACGTGGATGCGCCTGACCCGGGGGTATACCTGCTACCTCCTATACGTACAAAAACGCATGAATATTATACTGCTGTCTTTCAATCAATCATTTTGCGCTACAGAATTACTTGCCAGTATATGGGTCTTGATATCCTTCATTTCCTTGGCCAAGCTCAACACCTTGAGCATTCTTTGTGATAAAATCAGCAATTTGATCCAAAAAGCCTTGCGACAATTCATGGCGCCAGATAAAGTTCTGTGCAGCTTGATATGGGTTCTCTATATAAAGTTTATCAGCTTATCAAGTATTTCTCACCTCGGGATCCCATCGCTGTCGATTCAGCTTCTACTATACCTGTCACATTGTATGGCAACTTGAGCATTGCTTGTGGACCGGCACCGATATCGATGTCAAAGACATAGTCATACTCTTTTCCTTCATACAACTGCTTATTTCCGGATCCAACTCCACCAACAACTTCTCCAATCTTTTGCCAGCTTTGCGTTTGGCTACTCCATTGATGTGCCTCAACGGATCCTCCGGTATTCACCATAATCACTTGACCTTCTTTCTTGCCTGGCTTATTGAGCGCTTCAGGACCTTCCAATTTATCTTTGTTGATATCACCAACTTGATTACTATTGGCATTTTATATCAACGAAAGAAAAGTTAGCGAGTCATCCTCTGTGTTTTATCATTGTATTAACCGCGGGAGCTCATAATAGCTAGAAAGTAAACTTACGATGGAATAGCTTGAGCAGCAATGAGGTCCTCAAGTTGCTATTATACCATATAAATATAAGTGAGTACTTCATTCTATATACCAGGTTTTACAATATTCATATGTACCTTTTGAGTTTCGGCATCAGCCATGCGCTCGGGCGCACGAGAAAACACTCGTACAACACCATCGCTACCACCAACAATGATATCATCATTAGGCAATGCGCCTACTGCCCAAACTGATATGCATGGTTGTTGAATAGTTTGAATACATTCGCCATCTAGTTATTTTTTTCAAAGAATTTTGACCAAAAACATATGTCGCTGTCAGTAATCTCCCATAATTTTGTATCTCTATACACATTTTTCTCATTAACATATTGTATCAGCACTATGGTCATGATTCTTCACCTTTCCAAATGCGGACTGTACGGTCTTCACCGGATGAAACATATTCACCGGTACTAAGTACTGAAACAGAATAAACAAAGGATGTATGACCATTGAGTTCCTGAACACAATCTCCATCTAATGTCCAAACGCGCAATGTACTAAATAAAAGATATTATAAGCAAGATTAGCATTTTCGATACCAATATCTAAAAAAAAGGATATATTACTTTCTTTACTTTGATTTGCCACTCCATTCAACCTACCTATCATTGGCGCACGAAAGGAACCCGACACCAGGAACCTTAGCAAGGCCACGAACTGCATCAGTATGTCCGTGATACGTTCTAATGTGCTTGCCATCTTTCCATAAACGAATCGTCTTATCGGCTGCGGCTATAATAAATAATGCATTCCCATATTCAGTATCTGTCGTTGCTTCCCTCCTGAGCTTCCCATATACTCTTTACCGTTCCACAGAAGTATATTACCTGTTAAAATAAGATCTTCTTCAAGTGCTAAAACGGCCCACACTGCAGCAGTATGACCTTTCAAAGTATAAGCTTGCTGAAAGTTCTTCCACACAATCACGGTTCTTTTATAAAAAGAGCGAAAATAATCCCATAAATTATATCATAAGTTCTCATATCTGCTCGTATAAGAAAGCTCACTTACGTATCCCACGAGCCAGACACGATGTTACCGCCAGGTGTAGTAGCGAGAGCGCTGACGTTCTCAGAGTGACCAATGAGAGTATAAAGTGCAGCATTAGGTACAGAAGGATCGTACACGTTGATGAGTTTGTCCGAGCCACCAGAAGCAAACATTCCTTTAATTTCAAAAAATCAGTCTCTCTGTTTCCGTAAATCTCTTATATCCCGTGTAACAACCTCAATCCCTCACTTTACACACAAGAAGCATAAACTTACCGTTCGGATGGTGTTCGGAAGGTGGGATGATAGCTAGGGAATTGACAAAGTGGTCATGACCACGATACGCTTGGGCAGGCTCAAACTGATTCGGACTGACACGTTGCCAGGTTCTTACGGTCTTGTCACGAGCTGCAGAGACGATCACGTCGTTGGAAAGTGCACCGACGGCTCGTACCTAAAAAGACATGATACTTGACTGTTGAGCGCTCATTTTGTTCGGTTTAGACAGCGGTTGTCACTACAAAAATATAGAGGTAGGAGTTACATACGTCTTGTTCATGTGCATGGAGTGTAGATTCTAGTTTGAAAGCAACTGTCATTGTGCTTTGTATAGAGGAGAGAGGACAAAGAGAACGCGTCAGTACAGTGTGGAATTAAGTAACAGAGTGAAGATCGCATTCTCCGCTTTGTTCCCATTGGAGGTTGCAGGTTTGCATTGAATAAAGAAACCCCACCACCATATTAAAGTAGCTGTCATATATAAGTATTGTATGCTACATTACCAGAGTTTCCATACTGCAGCTTGGTAAACAACGTTTTATTCTAACGGTCCTTTAAATCAGAAATAAGATGAGACCAGATATGGTTCGGTGCTGACAAACGATACGAACTGTGGACTTCTATACTGCGAACTAGGTTAAAAAGCAAGTTGTCCCAGTTTTAATACCAATAAAAATATAGGAGAAGAGATGTCGTACTAGTAATCATTTATTATAGTATAATGCCATCATACGGCTCAAAAAGGAAGAAGTGTCGACCAAGTCCAATTAATTAGTAACCCGGTTACAAAAAAATGTTGTCAAGGAAAGCCGGACCATGCTTTAATTATCAATTTTTTTTTTCGGAAGTTGTGCCAAAACATTTCCATATATAAATCAAGGAAAATGGGAATCAAACTCTCACCCGCTGGAAGAAGGCAAGCAATTGCAATGATCCGATCATTGAGCAAGGACCATTAGTTTAAAAACTAGTGGAACTCATTATCCTAAAATTGACTATTGCATTAGACTGGCCGTCGTTATTGTTTCAGCACCATTTGCAGTTGCCACTTCGTGGATTCTCTATAAACGATGCAAGTATTTCTGTTACTAGCATGCTCAATCGAAGCCACCATTGAACAGGAAAATATTTGCGAATTATTAAAGCTAACAGTTTGATGCATTGGATATATTATTTTTTTTTTCGCCTTCTGCAGTGGTACTTGGTGAAGAAAGGCGCATGGCCGACGGGCGACTCTTCCGACCGTCAGGTGTCCGAGAACGCGACGAACGTGAAAAAATTGGAAACGACAAGCTATAAATAATACCATCCTCTATTGTCTATACGATTAATATGCATCATATTGTATAGTCATTCAGTTACTGATAGAGAACACAAAAGTGCAAATGGAAAAGATATTGCTATTACAGGTACAAAGTACTATATATATTAAAAATAACGAAGGGTATCTATGAAATATAATACATCATCAGCATTGCGAGAAAGAATTTAATGCTGCGGCTCCGGCCCTTCATCATCCTGTTGTTGCTGCTGCTCTCGGCGACCGCGGGCTTCTTTCGATAACATTGCCGACATTACAGCCTCATCAGAAGACCAATGGAAAAATGGGTATCTGTCTTTGGGAAGTGGGATAGACTTTCTGCTTGCACTTTTGATCGCCTTTTCCTTGACAACGTCTTCGACCATAACAACTTCGCCCACACCTTTTTCCCTTTCGTCCTTGTCGACGTCAGGCTCGCTTGTGCTGCTATCGCTGCTAGAAGAAGATAAAGCTGCTGGCGGTGGTCGCTCAATATCCGCTGGCGGTTGCCGTTCTTCTTGTTCACCTGATGAAGCTAAGCGTTGATCTCTTGACTGCGGTACTACCGGTAACACTTCTTTCTGTTCATCGAGATATTGCATTGTTGGCTGGGTGCCGAATCCAGCTACAATCAAGGTTCGACGAATCGAAGGATTCAGGACAGTGACAAAGTGGAACTCGATGTGGTGGCCGCTGTATCGATTTAATGTGTTTTGTGCATCCACAAGCGCTTGTAAACCACTGGAATCCAATCGGTTCACGCTGGAAAAGTCGATAATAAGGGCATGCAGCCGTGGCGATACTTGGTTTGCTGTTGCTACATCGTCATCTTCTGCAGCATCGTCGTTCCATGCTCGTTGCTGTTTGGTGAGCTTGGGTCCAGAACGCTGTGTTCGCCTCTTACAGTAAGAAATAATTTTTTCAGAAATGTAACTTGAGTTGGGATATGTAAACGACTCATCGACGCGGCACATGAGTATACCGGCAGGAAGCGGCTCAACGCGGTCGCCTAGCGATGGATGGTTTTCGGCTACATAGAGATATTGATGTGCTTGATGATGATAATAGTGTTCCTCATGCTGATATTCGACAGCCAACGTTTTCTTTTCAAGTTCACTAGGCAAATGGCGTGTTGTGGTCGTGGCTGCCAGTGGTATTCGACCCAGTGGCCAGAAGCGAGGCCGTGCAATTCGGAACAGGAGTATGACAATAGCCAGTGCGACGGATGCATAGATACCATATTCAACAGATGAAAAGAATGTCACCACCACAGCGACGGTGAAAATAAAGAGTTCCCATAGGCTTACAGAAGCCAAGCGTTTTATATATGCTGGACCTGATACCAAGTTTGCGACGGCATGGATAACAACTGCTGCTAGGATAGAACTGGGAATGTAATAAAAAGCAGGTGTCAGCGCATAAAGTGCGAGCAAGACTACGGCGGCCGAGAATACACCAGACAATGGCGTTTTTACACCTGAACGAGATAAGATTGCGGTGCGCGAGAACGAGCCTGTGGAGGGATACGCTCTGCAATAAATTGCGGATGTATTGGTCGTATCAATTTAATGCACATATAAAAGACGAAATATTCACTTTATCATATACTTGAACAATATTAAACTTACCCAAAGAACGCAGCAATAATATTGGTAAATCCAATGGCAGAAATCTCTTGACTTGGGCTAATAGTATAGTCATTGAGCCGACCAAAGGATTTGGCAATAGCTACATGCTCGAGAATGAGTACAATTACGCCAGAAGGCAGTGATGGGGCAACTATACTCAAAAGCTCGTTGTTGACATGAGGTACGCCCATTGCCGTGAACCCAGCAGGTACTTCTTTGAGGATGTCAATGGGGCTCTGGTTCTTGCCAATATTAATCAAAAACGAAATCAGAGTTCCGACAATAACCAGGATACCGTTGCGCATAATGCTAAACATGAAAAGGTGCGTCGAGTAGCGTGGATATTTCCTTGACAAGTAGCTGCAGCCATAGCTTACGCCATAGAGCCAGATGAGACCTCCTACACCAAAAGCTACGTCCAGTTTGATTTCGGGAATGTTTTTGAAAAAGTTGCCTAGTGTCAGGTAAGCAGGATCTTGGGTATGGATACTCTCAATGCCTGTAAATGAAGAGGTAAGGAGTTATTGTATCATGAGTATTTAGATATACAGTATACAGAACTGCAAGCAGTTTAAATAAACAATGTAATGATAGTTGGTGTTTACCTGTCAACGATTTCAGTTGACTGAATGTGATTGTGATGGCAGAACCAGTCATGAAACCGGCAATGACTGGCGCTGAGGTGTGGTAGTGCATATATAATACGAGCATTAAAAAGTGATTTAGAATACATATATGTCGTAATACTACAAGGACACCGATAACGGCGTCCAATGGTCCCCCTTCTATCTGTAAAATATTTACATAAATTTTTAAGACATGTTTTACTTACCAGGAATAAAGTCGACCAGAATTCCTAGCCGCACGAGACCAATAAACAGAATTACTGCTCCAGCAAGAACCGAAAACGTCACTGCTATTTCCGGTCCTGTGACAGTCGAACCTTCGGCTGTGGTTCCACGAATGATGGTCTGACCAAGTAGCAACGACATGACGGCTAATAAGAAAAATAACCTTAAGTTTCCCCATTTATAAAACCAATGCGAGAATTCTTGCTGTGATATATCATATGTCGCAGTAATACAACACACCTGTGGGACCAATACTAATGTCCTTGGATGTGGCAAAGAAACAATAAGCAGCAAGCCCGACAAAAGCAGTACTAAATAGAAAAAAACATATGATCGTTGTCTATGTAAGTTTATTTTTGTCGTTTTTGCATACATAGATTATTTTAGAGCTTCAACTTACTAGAGTCCGTATTCAGCAGGTAACTCGGCGATTTTGGCATATCCCATACTCTGTGGTACGACCACAATGCCCACAGTAATTCCTGCGATAAGATCACGTAGCAGCCACTAAGTTTGGTAATCAAGAAGAAAAATTAGCTATGTATGTACCGCGGACGGATAATTTCTCACCGAGAGTGTGTACATGAAACAAGAACCGCTTTGTTATTGCTGCTACTAGCTCAACTTACCATCATATTGTATTTATGTATCCAATGTACGATAGGAAAGAAACTCCCGACATAGCGCATCGATTTCCGTGGCAGTCGCTGTGCAAAATCTTGTGCTTTACTTTTGTACGAAACTTCTTCATAGTCCACAATGATACTTTCAGAAACTGCCATTTCAGGATTGAATTGAAAGAGTTAAAAGAAATGGGAAGGGTAGTTAAAAAATACGAATAAGGAAAAATGAACGGCTATTTATACATTATGTATTTTAAGTTTGGATTGTTTTTTTTTCTTCTTTCAAAGTTCTGCAGTGCGAAGATGGTAATAGTCGTAGTATGGTTAATAATATTATGATCATGAGAAGAAACAGCGGGCTCGCTGTACAACTAATTTTGCTTGAAGTACAAAAAAGTTACACGTGCCGCGTTCCACAAATTGCGCCATAGTCGCAAGCTTACTCAATCGCTACTACGACCAGAAACGGTATGATCACAATCTAGATGATGCTGCCACTGTTGCTGCTAGGTGATAATGAGACGAAGTGAGAACAAACTTTAGAAAACGGGTACACTAAGTTTAAGCTTTTTTCCTCTTTTTGAGATGCGCGTTGTTCTTGTTATTCTCAATCGATTATGACGTAAGGAGTATCTATACTATATGTGATTCTGTTTTCTTTCAATTACATACGCGCTTAAAAAAAGGAAAATAAGTTACTGAAGTGGGGGTGGCGATGAATTGCCGATACCGGTAAATATCTCTCATCTATAATCTTCTTTATTTGATGCACAGCCTCGGATGGAACATATCTTACCCAAGAAATTGCGTTTCTAACATACATTAGTGTGCCTTCGCCTACAAACGTTACTCTTAAAACTTAGTAGACTTTATACAAGGTGCATACAGTACCTAGCAAATTAATGAAGGCACATATTAACATGCTGATCAACAATAAAACCAGTTACATATAAAGAACCAAATGGAAAATAGGTTCACGTACCTGACTTGCGTTTTATGTCGCTTTGTAGTAATAGAATCGATGCACGGACAGCAACATATCTACTAACAGGCCAAGTAGCCCGTTATATCTAAGGCAAGGATTTACCCTTATACATGGTGGGGCAACCGGTTGATGTGTTTCTTCTTAATCAAGCTCTTTGTCGATTTTACATACATTAGTCGATCGTTTATTTCACCCTAGTACAATCACACATGCAGAAACGTGCTGTTGAGCAATCAGTTGTGTAAAAACGCCCCCCCCCCACAAAAAAAAAACATTTTAAACAACAGCAGCAACTAAAGTACATAGCACTTTGCTTTTTTTTTTGCGTCATTTTCTAAAACTGGTCAGTTTAAAGGTCTGCGATACAAACAAATTTAAAGTTAGCGCGCGCTGCCCGGCTGGAGGGAAGATACTGTGCCTTAAATGGAATAAAAAATATTGTTACTCAGGCATGTCTCGTGGAAGAGCGTACATCCAAAAACAGGAAAACAGGAACAAATGGGATATCCGGTAACGTGTACATAAGGCTTGCCTTGTAATTTGCCCGTCGCTGTAAATCAACATCAAAACCTTGTTTTTCGCTTTCTCTCATCTCTCGTACGGACTCACTCGTAAGGAAATTGATGTGAGTAATGTGCCATCGTATTTCTTACTACGCGTTCATTTTCCAAGGGCTTCCTTTAATTGATCGGAAGCAGAATTATCCATCATTGTTTACACCTGATTTTGATGGCCTCTTGTATTGGTCGTATATGAAACACTCTATAATTTTTGCTGCTGTATATCGTACTAACTGTCTCTCTCCGCCGTTTACGATGGAAGAACACAGCTGAGTTCTGATATGTATATGCAGTAGGTGGTGAACATAACGTATGAAACGCTTGCTGACAGTATGGAAACAATCACGAGAATTGTCATATATTTTGGTAAAGTCCGGCCACTCCAATTACTGTTGCACAACTGTAAAGGTACGGTGATCCAGCATCGTCGCTTTTTTCGTCTATTTGATCACGCAAACACACTAGAATTGCCGATAAGTCATGTCGTATTATTGTATGACATGTTCCTGGGAATAAGTCAGTACACCAATAGTGTGTTTGCTTCACTTGGTTGTCATCGTCATCGTCAGGAATGTGTGATACGTACTCTGAATACAATGCAATACAAGAAATGCATAGAAGAATCGAATAAAGTAAAACGCACGTTATGATTCTTGTTTTTATTTTGTCGAATTCTCGATGAAAAAAAAGGGGGACAATGAGTTGGTGCGGGGTATCAGGTTTTACTTTCTGCTCCTTCGCGACGAATCGTTTCTACGAGAAGAGTCACTTCTATCTCGACGTCCTTCGGAGCTTCTGCTTCTATGTCGACGTCGCTCTCGACTCCTGCTTCGATCCCGGCTTCTATCTCGACTGCTACTAGAGTAATATCGATCCTTTCTATCCCGTCGTTCGCGACTTCTGCTTCGTCGTCGTCGGGTACTACTGCTACTGCTGCTGCTTCGGTGCTCTTTTCTACTGCCTGTGCTGCTAGCACTGCTTGCATAATCACTCGATTCTCGGTCATCGTCGCTACCCGCACGCTCTTCGATTTTCCGCTTTGCCACTTTTTTGAACAGGCTTGTTTCCTTGTACTCGTACGCGCTTCGTCTGCTAGGTTTCTTTTTTCCTTCACCCACTTCTTCAGCCTTTGCGCCTAGGCCCAACAACGCTTGTCGTTTGATAGGTGTAAATGGTTTAGGTGTTCTGATCAATAATAAATGGAACGGTAATTAATAAAAATCTCCCGTTTAGAAATATGCCCTTTTCGCTGATTAGCATTAAGATCAAATTATTAACACTTACGGAGCGTTTCTCCTGTTTCGGCCAATTCCTTCGCCTTCTTTCCATCCTAATCCACGTAGCAAAGCAGCACCAAACTGATCTACAGGCATACGCTCGTAATCATCCATGGTCGCGTCATCAGGTCTAGACTTTACATCTTCTCGGAACACTTCTGTTTCATCAACCATAGGGATCACTGCAGTGTTTTTAGGGTGCTCTTCATCACTATCATCTGCAGCACGTCTCGCATCTATATCATGATGATAAAACGATAAACAATCCGCGTCAGATCACTGGTACACTGTTTCGCTAAAACCTTCTCTTTCTTTCTTTCTTTCTTCAAACTTTTACCTTCAATGACTTCTTCTAATGCTTGTTCTTCCAAAGATTTCGGCGCTGCTGTTGCTGCTGCTTCCTCTTCTCTTGCGTTGACAGTAAGGTTTTCTGTCTCCATGCGAATCTCTGCCGTCGACTCTCGGCTGTCTTCTGCTGTTTCGCTCTTGCTCTTTTTCATAACCTGTAAACCGTACGACTGCGTGCTTTGGCCGAGAACTTCGGGTTCTTGTTCAATTTCAGAAGTCGAATGCTGTCCGCCTGGGACATAGAGCTGTTTCTTCTTCTTTGCACGCCAATCGACATTGGGCAATGGTGCGATCGCCAATGGTTTTTCTTCGACTTTCGGTGTCAATCTTTTTGTTTTTCGAACACGGAGAGAGATAAAACGCAAATCAATATTTTGAGTTTTCGTACAGATCGATATGGTAGGTGAGATCAGCGTAGAAAAAGAGGGGGGGGAATCTCCCGTTAACGCAGTAAGAGTGATACAAAGCTTCAACGATCGCAATCATAGAAAGTCAGTATCGATGCTTAATCTTCTTTTGTTGTATGGGAAACATAGATCGATGTGTGCTACAGAATTGAAAAAGAAAGAGACCCCCTCTTTTATATGCTCAATTTCACCAATAGATTAAAATAACGTAAAATGAAACTTACTCTTGTACTTTATTATCGTCGAATCCTGTCACCACTGAAACTTGATCTTCCTCTTCCTGATCGTCATCGTCACCGAATCCAAAACGTTTACCACCTGAAAACTTTTGTCGAGAACCACCTTTCTTTTGAAAAGGTAGCTTTGTTGATGGACTGGACATTGTTTGTTCAAAAATGTTCGAAAAAAAGAAGAGATAGAAGAAAAGAAAGATTAATTTCTGTCGCAGCAGCACCAACAGCTAGTTAGTATATTACTCTAAATCCCGATGATGTTGGGCTTTGCGTGCAGGGTCTTAGTCTGCGTCTTAAGAATCTATTGCTACGAAAACTAGAGATGAACATACAATAGCATTGTTGATACAACAGTGCTTAATAGATTATCGTAGGTGCTATTATAAACCAAACTTCAAGCACTATGCAATACGACCCTGCTATGAACAGAATGACGATGTACTATGATGAATCAGAAGACAGTTTTATCTCGATGTTATCATTCGTTAAGTATACATCATATGTAAATGACAGCTGTTTTCTGGATTTTCAACATAAAGTTGCTGATGATGTACTATTCCTTAATAAATATCCTCTCGTTTTCCCCTTGCATCCAGAGTATCTTAATGGGACAAATAATAGTCAGCCAAAAGGTTTGCTGGCAAAGTCAAGGGATACTGTGGCTCTCACAATTCGTTAGCCTCAGGGCCCGAACAAGGGCAGATGACAGACTTTAAGAGGGTGTATCTCCCTGATAACTTGACTGAAGAGACTATCACAATTGATGATCTATCGCTTATACTTTGTTGTCCGTGTATTGATCAGAGTCAGCGATTTATGCTAATGGAAAAATTTTATATATATTTTCGTTTTTTATCGAAGGATTATCAAGTGGCAGTCCACGCTAGTAAGCCAAGAACTTGGCTGTGGCTATCACATTATATGTGTATAAGTTGCTTGTGTACACCTATGAAATTTAATGTAACAGCATGACTTGTTATCTACAGATATATAGCAGAAGAATGTTGTTACGGTTATTCTTGTAGCTTGTAAACTTGATGATGGAAGGACCACCAGAGGGTACGAGAGAAATTTACATAAACGTAGTACTCTCTGCGTATCAGATATAGTTGAGCGTATTTGATGATAATAAAGCTTTTATACTGGAAGTATCTTCGTTCGTCGATGATAGAGCACCGAATTCGCTATATGACATGCTGTCCATTTGGGTCACATGTAACATCGTACTTTTTCCTATGCGTTCAAACAACTAGAAAACACCTTTCAAATGAAGTTGGTCGAGAGATATAATGCGCACAGCGTTTGAGAAGCAGCTGTAGCAAAAGCCTCAGATAAAATGCTTTAAAGTATTAAGCAATATTAAACTGTACAACTTCCGTTGGGATGACAATGGCTCGAAGACCTAATCCAGGTCAAGAGGCGTAGTTTTCTACGTTTGGACCGACAAAAAGATGGTGCGTCACGCATTTATTTTGGAACGCCGAACAAAAATAATGTTGGCTCACGCCACCCTTCCCAACCTGGTTCATCTCTAGACGGGAAAAAAAAAGTCGCCCTCTCAGCGAAAAAAAAAAACGAGAGCGAGAGGAATAAACGAAAAAATATATCCTCCTCCCCCCCACATAAAAACCGCCCTTTAGTGATTTTTAAAAAAAGGGGACATGTCTTCAGGACGTCTTTGTTTCTCACAATCCGTCATAAATGATGTCCTCCGTGCCATCGTGTCAAGGCCAATAACTGTGTCTCCAAGTACAACCGCTCGCTGCCCCAGTACCAAGTCATATCGACATGCGCATCATCAGGCACTTTGTTCACCATTATCACCCTGGCAACTAGAAACTCCATGGACTAGGGTTCCATACCGATGGATGCCCTCGCTGGAACGCCGCATGTATACCTCACGGGCGCTGTCCGTGGTGGACGCTGAAGACGATCATCGATGGCACGATCTAGAAAGTTTAGTCGACGAGCAACAACAACAGCAACAACAGCAAATGCAACTTGGAAAACAAGCCAATGCTTGGAACCATCGACCTTCAAACAAAAAATGCGTCGTACGGCGCGAGTTGGCAGGTGGACGGGTGGTAAATATACTCGGAACCAGGTGGAAAAAGCCAAAAAGGAAGCCACGGACGGTCGAGGATTACAACCGGGCGATCATGTTTGCCGTCATGGACAACCGATTAAACAAGGCCGTGACATATGTACGCGAAATGGAACGGCGGCTAATTTCACTGGACACATACACGTATACCATCATCATCAATGGCTACAGCAAGCTTTCAGATATGGAGCGCGCGCAAAAATGGTTCCGGCGCATGAAACGGAATGGAATTGAACCAGACGTGTATACCTATACAAGCTTGATAGATGGCTACATGCGCGTAGCAGACGTGGCAAGTTCGGAGGCAATGTTTCGAGGGATGATGCTCAAGGGCATTCGACCGACCCTGGTGACGTATAATGTGTTGATGCACCATTCAGTCCGACAACTGGATGTTAGCACGGCCGTGCGGTTCTGGAGCAGGCTCGTGGATGCTGGATTACAGCCGGATGCGTACACTTTTGCTATCATGATGCATGGACTTGGCGACGAGGGCCGTGTGGACCAAGCATGGAGGCTGTATGAGGAAATGAAGAAGGAAAACGTCGACGTGAATGAAGTGGTTGCAACGACGCTGATGGGAATCCATGTCAAGCATCACGATAACAGCTATGCTATTGAGCTTTTCCGCAAGTTTTTCGAATCTGGACGTGGTGATATCGCACCTACCCCTTATACCCGCAACGTGATGCTGAATGCCGTTGTCGCCAACGCCAACCTATCGACAATCCACAAATACTACGACCAGTTTTTGCAAGAATTGGCGGATTCGGACAAACAACAAGCCACGGCAGCGTCGGATCACTCTTTACTGTTCAATGGTGCAAGCGTTTACACATACACCACGTTTATGCGCGCTTTCCTACGAAGAGATGCATTACCCATGGTTAGCCAAGTATACCAAGACATGCGCGCACGGCACGTCAAGCCTACCATGGTGACCTATGCTATTTTGATGCTGGCCCACTCGTATATCCCAGATCCCGACTCTTGCGTGCGGATACTCACTGAACTCAGGCATGCCGGCTTCCGGCCAAACGTGGTGCTCTACACGATTGTCATGAGAGCTTGGGCCAAGGCAGGACGCTGGGATGAAATGAAAAAGACATATGCAGATATGAAGGCTGACAATATTGAACCCAATAAGTCTACCATGTCCGTGCTACAATGGGGCAGCGAACACAGTCGACCGATGGACGATAGACCGTTGGACGATAGACCGTTGGACGATCGACCGATGGACGATCCACCGATCGATGACTAATTCAAGATAATCATTATAAAACACCCACCTTCCTCCACCGACACACACATACAATGTAGTATATCTCCCACTTGCATCTCCCCCCATTCCACTCTCTTTTCCTTATATTGACCATGTACAGCACATTGCCAGTTTTTTTTTTACAAAATAATATGTAATAACGACAATTTTAAAAAAAGAACACTCATGATGGAAAACAGATATACAATTGCTTTTTGGATGTTTAAATATGTAAGCGGGAAGCTTTAGTATGGATTTCGATTGTTGTTATAGTAGTTTCCATAGCTCCAGCGTGCCGATTGATTGTTATGTTGGCCTCCTCGACCGCCTCGTGCCCCACCTCTTGGTTGATAGTGACCTCCTCGACCTTGGTTATTGTAGTTATTGTTGTTATAGCCGCCGCCGCCGCGATAGTTGTTATTGTAACCACCATTACCACCGTAACCACCTTGGTTATAATATTGCTGTTGTTGGTTATTTCCTTGGTATCCTCCTCCATAGGAATCACCATAGCCGCCATTGGCACCACCGTAGCCGCCGACTCCATATCCACCATAATTATTGTTGTAATTATTATTGTAACCATAGCCGCCAGCATTATTACCGCCATAACCGCCATCATAACGACCGCCACCTCCATAACCTCCACGGTTATTGCGGTTTTGGTGTTGATAGTTGTTACTAGTGATTGACAACCAAGAAGATTTTAGTAAAGGTGATCACATATAAGCACACTGAAACTCGTGTTCCTAACATATACGTCAAACGTACCGGTCTCTATAGTCTTCCATTTGATCAATTTGAGAAGACCAACCACGATTGTTGTTACTGTGGAAATTGCCCCGACGGTTGTTGTTGTTGTAGGTCTTTTCAAATGTGGCTGCCTGGATATCATCATAGCCCAGAATATTTCTATCTGCCTTAACACCGCGTAATAAATTCGATGAAAAGACAAAGTCTTTTGGTACGTCGGGAAGTTGATATGTTACACTGTAAATAAAAGAAAACGTACAATGCAAGTCTCTTTGTAAGCTTTCTTTTTAAACTAGGCATATAGAAAAAAACGAACAGAAAGATGAAATATTGAAAATTGTCTTTACCTGATTGATTTATCATTGGCGATATCTGAAAGATCATGGTTTGGCAATGGACTACGCAAAGTGCTTCGTGGAATGCATTCAGCATCCTTGTCCACCGTGCCCGTCATGCCACTACTCAAATTTGTATCCACTGGCAGGCGTTCATCCGACATACGTTTTGTGTAGACGGTACTGATCGAGTTGTACAGCTTGTGCGATTCTTCCACATAAAGGATAGATGGGCCTTCAGTGTTTCTTATTAATTCTTCTTCGGTCAATTGATCATAGAACGGAGCCATCGCATCCAGCAGTCGTTTAGTTTCAATGAAGGGCAACTTGACTACACCTTGCCAAGCAAACTTTTTGCCATCCATATCCACTTCAAAGTCGGTTGGGTAATAATCAATAATGGGTGACACTTCTTCGTCTGTCATCAGTGTGTGGAATGGGGCTGGAATATGAGAACGACTAGAGTAGTGCAATAGCAAAGAGTAGTCAAAGTTAGTAAAAATGACATATCGCTACTTCGTTATGAAACGAGATGTAGCCCATAAAAATAAATCAGTATACCTTGCTGCTGGCAGAACACCCATCAATTGTTCGAAAGGTTTCAAAGGAGCGCTCTCTTCAAAGGTGATATCGAATGAATCAATGTTGACAAAGTCAGAAGCCATTGGAGCATAGTAATAGGGATAATACCACGACCAAGACGCACAGCCCTAAAAAATATCACACAAAAAAAAACTAAGAGTTACAACAACAGAAAATCTAGATATCAACACATTTCTTTACCTTGTAGTAATACTTGAACACCCAAACAAGACCTTCACAATACGACTTGACAATGCTAGATTAATTTCATGGTTAGCAACCACATATTATTCTTTCAAACTTTCGCTTCCTGGATCACGTATTTCCACTTACTGCCTGATAGCCTCTTGATCGCTTAGCTCTATTCCAAACTTCAATCTGTAATAACGATCCTTCCATCCCGATTCCCATAATCTATGTATACGATATAACGATATAAATTACTTGATGTTGGTTTAAAAGACGGAGAGAAAACCTTGATAAGTAAAATGGGGACTTACCGGACAGCATCATCAGGTTCGCGATCCCGCGCGGCCTGATCAGCAGCCTTCTTATCAGCAGCCTGCTTGTCCAGAATGGCTTTTCCTCTTGCTTCCAAATCAGTTTCTTCTGTTTGACTTGGTGCATCATCCTCGTCCTCGTCTTCATCATCTTGCTCCATTTCTGATGCTTTACGCTTAGTGCCTTTTTCTCCGCTGTCTTCAGGAACTAGGGCCGTGCTACCATCTGAAGATTCGCGTGGCAACTCGGTGTGTTCTTGAGGTTGACCCAGCAATTCTGCTCTCAACGCTGCTGCAGCACTTTGATTTTGTGTTCTCAAGGCTGACCGGTTTGATACTACCGCGCTATTGGATACGCCAGAGTTGTATTGGTTGACAGGCATTGCCGTCATGGCACCAAAATCCATACCGGTAGGTACGTTGCGCTGTCCGCCTTGTTGGTTCATTTCGCGTTCCAATTTTCTGCGTTTGGCATTACGAGTGCGCCTTTCCTCCTCTAAACATACATAGATTCAGAGTACGTCAGTTAGTCCCGCCTACTCTCCTGATAATAGACCACTAATCTCTTTTCCATTATGATGCAATAACGTACTGGCCCTTCTTTCATTGAAAATTTCATCCTCCGATTTGCCAAGTTCGGAAACAAGCACTTGTACACGCTTTAAATCAACCTAATATCATCAAGGCATAGGCCGCTATTAGACTTATACGACAACACGTGACGTTTTCTTCCCGAACGCACACTGTTGTTAAAAGTTGGGAAAATACTTACATCTCCATTGTTGGTCATGTACCCACCCATCATTGGCAAACACTGTTTCCACAAGATACTAAGAGTGCTGATAGCACCTTCACGGATCTCCAATGATGGAAGATGGGGCAAAAAGTCGTTACCCACAAAGAAGCACATAAAGACCCAATCATCAATTGCACGCTCAAGACTCCATGGGATACCGGGAATATCGAATTTAAGGGCATGTTCCAGGTATTCTCGAAGGATATTGACATGAAGAAATACGTACGGCTTAAGATTATCACCAGACTCTTCCTTTTTCGGTGGTTCCACACCGCTAGCCTCCGCGTTCGCTAAGTTATTATATGCAATATGTTTTAGTAAGCATTGAATCCTCCTTAGAAGTTTCTCATTCAATGCACGGTGATGTTTCCCTTTTCTTCTTTACCTGTGCATTGGGCAGCGTAGTGACCTGGCTTGTTACAGATACGACATGTGTTTTTGTCTTGGAAGAAAACATCTTCACGTAACACCTTGAAGCGTGGCTCATGGGTTCCGAGCGCAAGCATGATCAAATCAGCATCCTATATACACAAGTAAGTAAAATCATTTGAGCAAACATAATTCTCTCATTGTAAGAGCCCTTTCCACTCTTGAGCTAACCCATTTCTTTCGATATGAAATTAACCTACCAAACCATAAATAACGTGCGATGTGTTGGGATTATGCTGAGGTCGCGATCGCTGGACTCGAATAAACTCCATCACCTTATGTTCACCTTCTCCTGGAACGGTTGCATCGGACAAAATAACTTTAAGCTATGAAAATAAGATCCTGATTTAGCATTTACTCCGGATAACCATATAGTTTTTTCCTACTTTATGACGACCTATTTCCACTTAATATCGATAACATACGTTTTTCCACAAAGGATCGCTGTTTTGCTTAGCCGCAATATGATATCGTAGACACGTAGCTAAATGTGCCATGAAGGGCGTGCCAGGTGTAATACAGTTGGAGTCGAAATGAGCCTTCTTTTCAGGAAGCTGGTGTTCTTGTCCAATTTCTAAAATAACAATGACGCGTCAACATCATGTACACACATAAAATGTAATCATTTTCTTTATTTATTACCTTTGAGCTGATTTTCAACCTTTTCAGCAGCTTCGCGCTCAGCTTCTGCCAACTGTGCTGCACGGAAACGGCGAGAACGTTGTTGGTTCATTTTAGCACGAGGGGCAACACCGTCTGTTATCAATAAACAGGTCAAGTCATTAGTAATCGTCGGAAACGCTGATCAACGTAGCAACAAGAATCAAAAACTTACCAATCGCCATGTACAAAACCTGACGTGGACGAACAATATCCACAATACGATCGAGATATGCGAATACTTCAATCATCATGTCATCTTCGGTAGCTGGTGCAGGCTAAATTTATAACATTAATACTCTGAAAAACAAATGATCAAACCATTTGCGGCAGAACTCTCATCAGAGTAGAATACAAGAGAGTGATAGATCGTTGCTTACTTTGCCCTCGGGATGGCAGCAAGGATGAATAATACCATTCATGTCGAGATACAGGTTATCAAACTCTTCACCGTTAGGATTAGGTTGAGTTGTGTCGACAGGCATAACATTGCCGTTAATCTCTTTCGGTAGTTCCTCGATTACTTTGGAAGCGACTCGTGGAAACTTATCCGACAGCCATCTGGATTACAATGAGGACGATTGTTAGCACCAAACAATTGTAGATAACGCAACAGTCGTCGCACGAGATCACTCCATACCTGAAAAATGCTGGAACACCCATGTATGATAACTTTTTGTTGGTAAAAAGTATCAACAAGAAGTTTTTTCGCGAGTTTGCAACAGCACTCTTCTTTTTGCGAAACAGAGTCTAAAATAGAAAGTCCGCCTTTGTTAATGCATGGCTGAATTTATTTCATTCTTCATCTTGATGTTTCCTTCTTCAAGAGAGCACACTAGGCTTTCTATGGATGATGGCTGAGGCTTGATTTACCATCATCTCAGTATCGAATATCGAAGGGAGGAGCTGCCTTCTTCTGATGACATGCATAGAAACATAATGCACGGATCAAATACCCATCATCAGTTACAAACGTGCTCGACACAGTAACTCTTTCATTTTTGTTGATGGACTATAGCGCTATAACGCAAGGATAACTCGTTTGCATGGTAATAAGAGAAGAAGGACATCGTTTATCACTGCAGCAGTACCTTAATAACACGCAATCGTACTATTGATGTAGACACAGAGTAAGTCTTTGCTCTTTAAGAAACATTAAAATTGCTTTCTTTTAACACTGTCTCTAGTAAAGCCAGAAATCTATTATACGAAATAGATTGTTAACTTGAACAGTCTACATACAAAGACGTTCAATGTCTGTAAGCTCAACGGTTATAAGCCGATAGGAAAGTAACTTGTATGCTCACTACGGGAAGCAACTGGATCAGCGTGCTCGTTATTAAAACGTGTAAAATTTACCCGCGAGCCCAGAACTGCAGGAGCCTTTGACAGAAAAAGATTGCAAGGAGAAGAGGTCCTGTCCCGAAAAGGAAGGTTGACGAATATACCTTTTATGGATCGAACCTTGGCACAAAACTCAGCGGCACTTTTGATACTCCCTTGGGCAGGCTACCAGAATTGAAACACATAGTCAAATTGTGCAAGTAGTCGCCATGCTGCGTACGGTCCTTCAAGAGAGAAGTGGCTGGATATCAAGCCAAATGCTGAGAGACTGGTAGCTGAACTTGTGTAGTGAGCTAGAACAAAAGAAAAGCGAATAGGCTTGGCAAGACTTGGGGAAACAATAAACATGAGTCAACTGTTCGGGAACATCCGTCCCACCAAACAACAATTTAATTGGGCAATCCTTTTTTTTTTTTTCTTCCTCCCCTTTCTTCTTCTTCTTCTTCTTTCTTTATCCACACAAACCACCCTCTTTTGTTTCCATCTTTCTTTTCGCTCGCTGCTTAAAAGCTATGGACAATAACGACACTTTCTTCAACTGGATTCTTGATCAAGGAATATCAAGCACAGTACCAGACGCAGGAGCTGCTGCTGCTGCTACTGCTCCCGTGTCCTCGTCCTCTCCCCAGACAGCGACAAGCTTGACACCTGAGCAACAAAATATCAATAATTTGCTGTTTCACGATTGGAACGATATGCATCTATCCACATTGGACGAAAGCATCATCAACAACAACACATCAGCTCCCACTAATACCAGCAGTGGAAGTAGTACAAGCAGTGTTGAAAGTGTGGAACGAGGCATGTTATCGCAACAGCAGCAACAGCAACAGCAACACCAGCCACGATCATCCGCCCTGAAACCATTCAATCCTCATGGTGGATCAATAAACGACGCCAATAATAAACTGCAACCAACTACAGGCCGTCTTGATTTCCGTGTATCCAACACGGATGAATGCCAGGTCACCGACTCACAGCTGAAGAAAATGACATCCAGAGAGCGACGGCAGCTGCGAAACAAGATTTCCGCACGGAATTTTAGACAGAGAAGAAAGGGTAAGTTTTGCAAGAGGGCGTTCAAGTCTGTGTAATATTTGTATGCGGGAAATTGCGGGGAACTGACTATTTTTGTCTGTGTGTGTGTGTGTGTGCGTAGACTATGTCACAACGCTTGAGGAGCAAGTCGAGCAGCTGCAAAACGAAAAATCGCAACTCAGGCTAGAGGTCAAGAACGTGTACGGGATCGTTGCCAAACTTCAAAAAGAAAACGATCAGCTTCGTGTGGACCTCTTGCTATCCCGACAAGACATTGTCACCATTACCAATAACAACACTAGTATCACCGCCCAATCCGAACCGTTCACATCGTCGTCATCACCACCTACTGCATTTGTCACTCAACAACAACTTCAACAACAGACACAGCCACAACAATCATGTACAGATACACTTGCCGTTCCCGAACTTACTTTCACCAACGCCCTTTCATCACCCGAAGATGCCCTATTCGACACCCTTGATACGGACTTTTACAGCAACACCTCGTCATCGTCACCTTCATCATCCGATACCAACAACCCTTGGGATCTTGTTTTGCCAGACTCTACTTGGCTTTCGCATGCAGCTATCCCACGCTGGGATTGGTCTCGCATTTTGGACAAGACACAATCTTCGCCACCCACTTCAGCACTCATAAACGCACGAGATACGTTCCAAAGATACCCGCTTTTGGCACCTGCATTAATGTCCATTGTTGTCGGTCATACCATGTCCATGAGTGCCGAAGAGTTAATGCATGTCACGGCTGTGCTCCTGCCGTCAGCGCAGGCTCAGGACGATCATATGCTTTCATTTGATGTGAAAAGACTTGGTATCAACAAGGCACAAGCTCCATTGAACCACGAATTGTTATTGGAGCTGTTCAAGGCATCTTTCGCAGCAGGTAATGCCACTACTGCGCCCTTGATCACTGAAAAGGGTACAATCACCGAAGAGGACGAAGATATTGAAGAAGATCGAGACGACGAAGGAAATGACGGCGAGAAGCAAGAGGAAACCGAACAATCAGCAGTATGGAGAAGGCCTGCGTGCCCATCGGCTTATATCGTGCCTTTTATCCAACGCCATATCTGTCGGGTAGTGACCGAGATGTACAATTGTGTCCAACAGTTAGAAGCATGTCGAAAGAGCATGTGTCCCATGAAGACAAATGATCCAGCCCAGCCTCAACCAATGCCGCACTCCCACTGCTGTTAATTCCCAACCTTGTTCTTCTTGCTCGTTCATTCCCTTTGCTTTCCTACAACTTTCATTCTATAGTACATTATTACTCTTCATTACACTCTGCTCACTTTAGTTCTTACACACTCTCGTTTTCACTCTAAATTGTTTTATTCTGAAATACATGTCTCAATGTTATATACCACCCGGCAGTACATATAAATTTGTTTAGTCACACATCCATATCATGTTCTTTGCATATTTCTCATTATCGTCACACAGAGAGTCCCGACACATGCACTTGTGCTAGTGTTACTGCCAGTGCTACTGCTATTGCTGTTCCCCAATGCTAGATATGTATATGCAATTTCGATGTAAGAAAATATACAGCAAGAAGAAGTAGTAAAGAAAAACTCTAAGATTATAAAAGGATCATTCGTTGTTATTGTTATCGCCTTTCCCAGTTAGACGGCTACATAGCCACCACTACCTCGTCGATGCGACATGATTGAATCGACAAGATGAGATATTAAGTCCTTGATCAAGTATGGCAAATCGAGCCAGAAATCTATCAAAGAAAACAAAAATCTCGTTAGGCTCCAACAGGGTTCTTGTTGTCAACTATAGTTGAATCCTTTTAGAAACAGAAACTTACCACGATGGGGTATGAGATCAAGACCTCTTGCGTTGTACATCTTAAAGTTGTAAAAGGCGCCGCCAATGAAATACACTGCAAGCAACACGCCCACACTACAGTTTTTTCCAGGATGAACTAAATATTAAAGATTGCCAGACCACACTACTCAATCTCTATCTGAACTTACATGGTGAAGAAAATGCCTGCACCAGACATGCCTTCACTACTTTCTCCGTCGGATGGTGGAGGTGGAGGAGGAGGAGGAGCCTCACCTTCCTTTGTGCTATAATAAACCGATGAATAAGCCAACCTTCTCCTTTGGGTTATACCAATGCCAAGACGCCAAGGAAAAACAAAGTCTTAATATAGTACTTACGCGCAAGCAAATACAGTCTTCCAAGTCAATGACATGACATTGTTTTGATAGGAATTTAACGTAGGGTCCGAAGGGTCCTTCTATTAGATTTGAGCACGTAAGACTTCCTGATCTGACCTAGGCCACGCAGTCCCTTTTGACAATAACACACAATCCCCTTTCCAAAGATTTTCTTCTACCGACAACAGCCACTGCCCGCCATCCATCCTATTCCGTATTGAAATTGCCCATAGGCAGACTTTCTTCCTTCCCACTATATATTTGTTTTCATACATACACTGCGGTCCTGACTTTCGTCACATTGCAACGTCAGCTGAGCTGATTGTGCCTGATCATTGTATTTACCACCATTTAACACGAGCGAAAACTGTGCCCCACCTTTAGTATGTGCATGAAATGAAGGGAATAGATAGATGATTGCTCTGTTAGTATACGATTCTGCACCCCCCCATCCACCTCTCTTTCATTTATGTTGCCATACTATGTAATAGCGGGGACAGATTCTTCCAACTTACTTTTAGTCAAGTCCTGATTCGAATCAGCTGCCTTAAACGCAGGATTCAGTTTATCTTTTTCAAACTCGCCTGCAATGCTTTGGATTTGCGATACTATCTTTTGTTCCTTTCGGGTGATAATAGATCGACGGCAGATATACTAAAGAGAATATTGAAGAGTAAACGGATTTGATTTAAATTTTCCTTTGTCCCCTTTTTCTTATGCAGCAATTACGCTTATCTGAAACGCGTACCGCTCCTTTGTCGCAAAAATCTTCTTCTTTGACGTCCTCGGGTTTTTGCAGTTCATCACAGATATTGATCGTGACTTCATTCGTTTGAGTGGATGGAGGAGTTTGTTCTTCTGTCTTAATGGTGAACGCTCTAATGTATATCATGTTAGAGAGCAAAAAAAAAAAACTCAATTACAGCCCTTGAAAGTCGGTTTCAGTGCGCTAATAGACGTCAAACCTGTTCAGTTTTGAGAGATCAAGTACGACATCCTTGTCGCCTACAGGCTTGTAATTAGCATTGCAGTATTCTTGAGCACCTAGTGCACTAGAAGCTGCGCCAATGATTAAGGCCAAGCCGAGATGAAGTTTCATGGATGAATTTCGTTCCAGAAGAAAATGTATGTATGTAACAAAAAGAGAGAGAAAAGAGAATAGACGGCCCCTCCCCTTTCCCAAACCCGTAGCGGGAAATGAAAATAAACAGTTAAGCCAGTGTGTGTTCTATTCACAGCTGTTCCACAACTTGTAAACGTCAAAAAGTATATCTATATGCTAGCAAGAACTTATATATAAAGGTATTCAGATGACAAAGAACAAAGAAAGATGAAGAGTGAATGGTAGGTGGGGCGGGAGTAGGAGGGGACTAACGAAAGATATACAAATGTTTGTTTGTTTACTAGGTTAAAGGGCATTAATCCTGATGAAGCGTTTTCACGGTTGGTTTTGGTCGTTTTGACTTGGGCAGACCACCGCCAGGTTGATTCCATGACAGGTACGTAGTATCGCCTAGAGATCTATTCGCAGAAAGGATATTTAATGTAAGTACAATAACTCTCTTGTCAGCATATGTCCATATTGAGAAAACTATGTTTTTACCTAGGCTTAATGCAATGTTTGATGGTGAAGATCACGCCAAGCAAAAGGCAGATACCACCGATGGCCATGTACGTGATTCCAAGGTATGGGTTATATCCACCTAAAGGTGTGGATGTTGATATGACTATCCATTTGTTACCACCATAGAGCGTGGTATCAAAATCTATCATTATGCGAGTTAGGGCTCACGGACCATATTGTATACACAGACACACAGGCACCCCATCTTCATAACACTTACTCATATCAACTTGAATGCGCCATCGACCTTCTGATAACGCCATAGCGTCGTTTCGTCCCCAGATCTTTCGAAAGTCGGGTAATGCAGCGACACGCATCCATACCATGAATGACTCGTCTTGTGATAAGTTGGGTGGCGGATGGGCATCATTGTATCGACCGTCCGGATAGCGTAACGCCCAGTTGGGCGGTGGCACAACACTATCTGGCGTGTATTGCGTAATACCATACTTGTCTTTATCCGTCGGCCATGCGATTCCTGTTGTCGCAAAGTCATATGTCGATTCCGTTGGTTGATTAATTGAAGTCAAGTTGGATCGGGTATCTGTAATGATGTTCATATATGTGAATGTTAACAGAGATTACCAGGACATGCATACATCTCATGGAGAATGTAAGCTTAAAGAAAGAAAAAAAAAGAGGGTTTAAAGATGTGGGGTTACCATTAAACATGGAGTTTGCAATTAATCCACAAGGATATATACTGGTGCCGTTTTCTGACATTCGTAAAGGTCCACAATTGCCTCCCGGTGGTGACACAGGATTGCCGAGCAGTTGTGATGAGTCAAAGCTGTTGATATACTGTCTATGGTTCTGATAAAAGTTGGTAAGGCGATAATAGAGGAATACGGGTGCTTGCATGGTCTGCGGTACGGTAAAGTCGATGATGCATTGTGGTATGGATAGGTTGTTTGGATTCTGCCACTCTGAATTTAAGAACGTCGTTACGTTTTGATGATGGTATGCTGGCGGTTCAAAAGATGACATGTTTAATTTTTGTGGTAGTTGAAACGTATATTGACTTGGAGCCATATAGACAGGTGCTGTGTATCGATAGCAGTGTGTATAATCGAGTTTGATTTCGATGATCTGTAGGTGTATGTATTTATCCCCCAAAGCCATATGTAGTTAGTATTAAACAACAACAAAAAAAAGGCACACAAAGGAGCTGATAGGAACGACGGTTTACGCGACTGTTGGACCAAAACAATAGGCCACCGATGGGTGTAAATAAAATACCAATCACAAAGAATGTTGGTAATGCTGTTCGAGGCGTTAGCACAGGTTGCCATGCTGGAAGACGCTGTTGTCGAAATGCGCCATCTATATTTATTAGGCGTATTGAAAGAGAGACAGGGCAGGTTATTGTCAGTCAATGTTTCTTTTTTGCTGACTTGTGTCCTGATGCAAAATTCACCTGTCGGCTTTCTTGATTTCTTTTTGACCACTTCTCCGGAATCTGACATGGAATCGAGAATTTTAGAGTCAATTAAGAAATAAAGTGAGAAAAGAGAGGGAGGGGCTGATGAAGCTGTGGAAAAGTAGGACGTACCGAGAAACCCGGGCTTTACTTACCCAGCCTCGCCTTGGCACCTTCAGGTGGAGTTGCCATTTTAGGATGGGGAAATCAGAGGAAGGATAAGAGTAAAACAACTAGAGCTTCTTACTGCTAAGTAACAAACGAACTATCAACTTTTCTGTGCTTCTAGTTTTTGTTTGTCTATTTGCACTTTAACGTAGTATCTCAGCTAACCTACATTCTTAATATATGCGATGCGAGTACATAAGCTAGGTGTAACAAATACTTCCCTTGTTATGCAAGTGGAAGTGCTGGCTACTATAAAGCATGATTAACAAGTTTCTTTTAATAGTTACTGCTAAGAAATAAAGCTACAAAGAGTATGTCTTTTCTGCGTATGATGAGATATTAGTACACATTATGACATGATCGCAATCTCGACTAAAGGTCCCACCCGCTGTTGTTGTATTGACATGGCTCTGGGATGATGATTAACTGTCTTTTACAAACATATCAAACGGAGATTTTCCAAGCCTAAAGAAGCTCCGCTAAGCCGGTTTGCTTTCGAAAGAGGCCAGGTGTCACTTTGTCTTTTTTTTTTTTAAACTTACACACACACAACAGACCAGAGCAGACTCAAAAAGAAAAACACCATTATGCACATGGAAATTGCGCAAGCCGTCGATTTTCTCGGTCGACTGTTGCAGTCCAAATTCGACCAAAACGACCTATTGACGTTCAAGCACGAGCTCACCAAAGTGTTGAAAGCGCGATTCGCCGATCACTGGGACCCACAGCATCCTACTCATGGTAATGGGTTTCGGTCGATTTCAAATTTGAACGGCCAACTCGATCCCGTACTCTTTAAAGGTAATGATATGCATATTACACTAGATACATAGTTGAATACCAAAGAGAGAGAAAGGGAAAGCATGAGAAAAAATTTTCTTTTTTTACAAGATAGATGTACCACCATGAAAAGCCCTTGTAACATATATATATATATATATGAGACTGCAAGGCAATGGATGAAAACATAAGAAGGAGGAAGAGCGTAAATTGACGTTATTGCATATTTTCTCTTTCTCTTAGCTGCTGCCGGGAAGACATCCGTTTCTCCAAGTTTAATACACATGAATTTGCCCCGGGATTTTGTTTTATGGATTGATCCATTTTCTGTCTCGTACCGCGTTGGTGACCACGGCAATATCATGACACTGTTTGAAGATCGATCGCGAGGCCGGATTACGTTTAAACTAGATCCAAACAGCATGCCGAAAAGCCCAGCACTGAGTCCACATTTGATCCCACCGTCAAGGACCTCGTCTGCTGTACGCATTTCTCCGCCGCCCAGTCCTCATACTATGCAAAGAAATGCAACGCCGCCTTTGGCTTCGTCGCCGCTAGCAAAGCATGTAAAGATGGCCAAGCCTCAACTGCAACAATCGCAGCAGCAACAGCAACAGAAGCAAGAGGATTCTTCTTCAACTTCTTCCACGCCAACAACACCAGCATCAGCAGATAAAGATCAACATTTAATCATGGCAAATTGATTCGACGTACAGCTTTGGTAGTATAATCCGCCTCAGACCCCGTTATATCACCAGAAAGTAGTATCATCTTTCTTTTTGCCATCATCATCGTCAATCTCTCTTCCCCCCCCACTCCTCCTCTCAACCTTATTCTTCTTGTTGTTTTCGCCGCTTGTACATTTCCATCCATAAACTCTCTATCACCACTCTTTTGCTTTTCTTTTCTATTCTTTCTTACTTTGCCATTGCACAAACACATTTTAACACTCACTCACGCTCTCTCTCTCTCTCTCTCTCTCAACCAAAAACCTAAATGTAGTATACACTAATTTGCGATTTGTGCTTCTCCTTGTCCAAAAACTCCCCAACTCTTCTTGGGGAACAATTTATTACACACACACAGTTTTACTTAGTAGTCGTAGTATAGTAATTTGAATGTACAGAATAAAAGTTTTTATACAACAGCTAAATGAGTTTTGAAGGTGCATTATTTCTGAATATGATCAGAACCATACATTTGATAACCAATAGTTGCTATTCTGCCTTCTTGTTGTTCGTGCGGCGATAGCAACAAAAAGGTGTAATCGTTCTCTCCATTGGTAAAGTAGTAATGTTGCTGCGACTCCCAAGTGTAGATCGAGTCCCGGTAACCCCACGTAGAAAGTGATACCCATTGCATTTCCTTCTTGCTTAGTAATAATTTCCTGCAAAAATTTGTAAGTTTGAATATTCAATATCATCAGATTTCGTACCGTCTCTCATTATCTTCTCTATCTAGCTCCTTTTTTTTCCGGCTTTTGGTCTTACTTGATAGTGACCAGAATGTGGCTGATAAACAATGGATGGATCAGACCGGTCCATGTAACTAGCGTGCCCGATCCGGTGGAGATAGATGATGGTGGATTGTAAACAGACACAAACGATTCAGGCTTATCATTTGCAGTAATTCTATCATGTTTTATAAGTCTTTGTATTTATAACGAGTCCTTTTAAAGCACTTTACCTATTCGCCTTAATATTAGCCAGGCCAATCCATTCGAGTGCTTTTAACGTGTTATGCTGCCACATGGCGTCTGGTTTGGCCGATAATGATGTAGGTCGCAGGTCATTAAATGTAGGGATACTAATATAATTGAGTGATTCCACTGTGATATCCATGCTTCTTTTCTGTGCACCATTAGAGACTGATGTCGGCCATACTATTTCTACTGATTCTCCGGATGCTACAACCAAATAGAAGGGATTGTCAATAGGGTTGTCGTTCCAATTGGCACGTTCGAAAGAGATTCCTGATGTATGGATAGCAGTGATACCTTTGTCGACTAGCGTAGCTATCATTTTGAATGGCTTGGGAAAGGTGCTTTCAATGCACGTTTTCAATCTGTCGTATTTCTTGGTGTTTGGTACAAGCTTACGATCCCGTAGATCGATCGTTACAACTATGAATATGTTAAAAGTCGTTTATCATTCAAGTTTATAATCCATCGTAGAATCCAATCCCAACCAACAGTTATCAGGATCGATAATGATATGAGTGGCACTTACTATATTTTTGCCGTAATTTATCCTGCTTATTTTGACCATGTTCTGCAACAATGCCAAATGATTCATACGCGCTTTTCAGCAGACTGAAAACAAGCTTTCCTATAATTTCATGGTTATATGGTAAGCATCTATTAGTTCACCCAAAAAAAGGGCATATCTTCTTACCATTGTGGTCTATTGTAACGACATTATCACTATCCAAATGCGTGTCTATGCTGTGTAGCAAAAACTGATGTGTATCTGTAATACCAGCTTAGTTCTTTCTCTAATTTATGCGAACGCGAATTTCACATACATGGCCTCAGATATATTATAAAGAAGAAAAGTAGTTTTCATACCTGATCGAACTACGTTTGCTAAGAAATCAGGATCAAGGATACTTGCTAGCGGTAAATTCAGCTGATAATAACAGCCCGCCACTTCATTCAAATGCTTGCGTGCCGTATCTGTATCACAAAAAGGTAAAACAATCGATAGCTTTGTGTATCCCGATTTTAGCTTTTTTGTTTGCTCAACTGCGTGTGCGTCCTTTTTTATTTCCCTTACCTTGTGATTGAATGGATGCGTCGAGATCACGTCTTGCCATTCTTTGGCATGTTGTTCAAAATCAAAATACGACAAGGACGCGTACGATTGGGTGGGTTCGTAATTGGATAAATAAGCTGATTGACTCATGTGTCAAAATTCTAGTTCTATGGTTGCCCAAGTTTTGGAAAGAAAGAAAAATAAATTGCGGGAAACCAAAAGCCTAAACTGGTAATTCCTCTCTCTCTTTTTTTTTTCGCCAACAAACCTTTAACTTTTTTGCGCAGCAACTCATATGGGTGTTCAAGGTCTTTGGACGCTGGTGAATCCAGCTGCCCGTCCTGTACAACTCGAAACGCTTCGTAATCGGAAAATGGCTGTCGATGCAAGTATTTGGATCCACCAGTTTATGCGCACCATGAGAGACAAGGAAGGAAATGCGCTGCGCAATGGCCACTTGCTGGGATTCTTCCGACGTTTATGCAAGTTACTGTTCTACAACATTAAACCCGTGTTTGTTTTCGATGGTGGTGCACCTGCACTCAAGCGATCTACAATCGTATGCAGTTTTCTCGCGTTTGCTGCAGAAACAAAATCACAATTTAAGTGTAATTGGGTTTTTGACATTATGTTTCACTTTTGCTTTATTCTAGAAAGAACGTCGTCGACGCCGAGAAGGCATCAGCACTAATTTGAAACGAACTGCTGAAAAGATTCTGAGTGCTCAGGTGAAAACGCGAGTTTTGCTAGAAGAAGAACGCAAGTAAGTTTCTAAAGAGAGACTTGGACTTTTGTGTGTGAACAAGAAACACTGACGTCTTTTTTTAAACAATTGGGCATAATTTCCTTCAGACACAAAGGCGAAGCAGAGGAACAAGTAGACGAACAATATGCATACTTTGATGAACTAGAGAAAAATGCAGCTCTGGAGAACATCAAGCAAAAAATGAAGCGAGATCAATACGAACTGCCAGCTATGCCGGACACGACGGCGAAACCAATTATGAAGATTGATCCACGTTTGGCAACAGAGCAAGAACTGATTGACTTTATCAACGAGTACCGGCCGTCTAAAGAAGATATTGACTCTGAAGCATTTCTGGCTCTGCCACCCGAAATACAGTTTGAGATTGTGCGAGACTTGGGCATGGAATCGCGTCGGACGTCTTGGGCTCGCTTGGATGAAATGGTGCGACAGTCTCGGACCGCCATGGATTTTTCAAAGCAACAGATCAAGCTGCTCAAACATAGGAACGAAATGACACAACGATTGCTACAGCTCAACGAAAAACCAAGTTTGGAATCCAACGACAGGGGCATCCCTACGCGGATCGCAGGCGAACGCAGTAGAGAATACATGCTTGTCAAGAATGAAAATATTGATCAAGGTCTTGGATGGAAGCTACCTGGTTTGAGTACCGCAGCAGCAACTACAGTGAAAAGTCCGGGTTCAGAGGAAGAGACAAAAAGTAACTTGGAGCAACAGCAGCAAGAAGTTACTGAAGGTCACAGCGAAACCAAACAAGAAACGTGAGTCAATCAATTGTTTTTGTACAGTTGTTTTCCAAGTGATAACAGCGTCTGATTTGTTGATGTGTTTGAGATAATTCTGTAGTAGGGACAAAGTCAAAGACGCAATTGCTTCAAATCCAAAGCTAGCTGCTCTGTTATCCACTTTTGACAGCGATGAAGATGAGGAGGTGGAGGAGGAGGCGAACGGCAATAACAACGAATACGAGGAACAAGCAATGAGTGACGGAAGACACGATCACAAGGATTATTCGGACGTTAACGATGAAGATGAACCTTTGTTTCTCAACCAGGATGTAACCAACAAACGTCGGTCGTCTTTGATGGACAATATGCAGGCATATGTTGAAGATGACGACGAAGCAGTAAACGAAGTAATACGCAGAATATACGCGGATGATGAAAAAGAAGAAGGAGCATATGGTACAACAGATGAGTTTCATAAGTCATCACCTCCATCCGCACCGGATTCAGCAATTTTGGATGCAGATGGGATGTACCAATTATGGATATCTCGTGTTCCGGACTCGTACATATACTTGCATTCCATCAATGACGAATATAAGCGTCTACTGCAATCTGCCGTGTATGAACAGGACATTCAGCAATTGGAGGACCAGCTCAAACGGGTCCAGAAAATGTACGGCAAGACGAGTGATCGAGATGATATGGGTTTGGATGCCTTGGCCTTTCAAGAACGCTATATCACGGACATACTGCGGTGGAGACGCATTCTGCAACAACAAGAGCACGAAGCACAACAGCGACACTCGGCAAATGCGCCTGACGCCGAGATGTCACTAGTTGATACTGGCTATTCAACACACCTACCTGAAAAGCAAACAACGGATCGTATAGAAAAGCCCAAGGAGTCATTACCACTTTCACCGTCTGTATCCACAACAAGAGAGCAATCAGATAGTGCGCCAGCTGCATCAGCTGTGAGACTAGATACCGAAAAGGTGCCTACACAGGTTCAGCAGCACTTTGCTCAGGATGTGACCATGGAGGAAGAGAAACAGTCCAAGTCACCCGAGAAACGCGCAGTTGTCGACAATCCATGGTCTCCAGAATCGGACAATGACTATGTGATGATGGATGATGATGATGAAGACGATATTGATATACCCTTGGTTGAGAACAATACAACCAAAGAACAGAGCGCAACTGAGCAGCTACAGCAGCAGAACTCTTCTCCTGGAAAAACCTTACCAGAAGAAATCTCTTCCAGACATGCATCTCCTCCTTCTTCAAAGACTGACCAGTCAAAAGCTACCACCGAGCCATCCTATGAACCAGCAGAACCTGACAAAGAAGCAGAAACTGGTGAAATCAAAGTATTGGATGAGTCAAAGAGTGATGAATCAAATATCGACGATGAACAAGAAAAAGTATCTATGATGCAAGCCACTGTTGACGTGCAAGAGCAAGGGTCCACTGTGGATCTGGAACAAGAACTTCAAGCAGCTCAAGAGCTTGCAGCCGAACCGTATGGCTACAACTCAGATGAGGAGCTGACGGGCGATGTTGGCGGTGAAGAGACTGAGTATGCTCGTTTCGTATCTGATATCGCGAACAAAGACATTGAAAGTGTGCGGCAAGAGCTACATCGAGATATGAAAGAGTTGAATAAACAGCAGCGCAAAGAGATGGGCAACACCGATGATGTGACGAACCAAATGGTTCAAGATATTCAGGTGAGCGTTGAATTATACATATCTTACCTTCTTACGGGATCAATCCAAAGATATTCTGACAATGCAACTTTTTCGTTTATATAGGAAATGCTGCGCTTGTTTGGTATCCCCTATGTCATATCACCGATGGAAGCTGAAGCACAATGCGCCGAATTGGCCCGTTTATCATTGGTGGAAGGTGTTGTGACGGATGATTCGGATGTGTTCTTGTTTGGCGGCACCCGCATCTATAAGAACATGTTCAACCAACAAAAATATGTCGAATGCTATATTATGCATGATCTTGAGAGGGAGATGCGACTGGATCGGAGCAAACTGGTGCAATTGGCATTCTTGTTGGGCAGTGACTATACTGATGGCATACCGGGTATTGGTCCAGTTGCAGCAATCGAAATTTTGGCAGAGTTTACCAAAGACGAGGACAAAAAGATTGAAGCCCCTCTAGAACGATTCCGGGTATGGTATGAAAGTGGGAAAGATGAGAATGATTTCCAAAGAAAACTGGTAAGTGAAGAGTGGGCCTGGATGATGGCGGCAGGATATGTTAGCAGAACATCTGTTGGGACTTATTGCATGGATTAACGTTTCATGTGGATTGATTTCACAGAGAAAGAAGCACAAGGATCTTGAGATCCCATCAGACTTTCCCAGTCCACTTGTGATTGAAGCGTATTATCATCCAATGGTTGAATCATCTCAAGAAGAGTTTCAATGGGGTACGCCACAGCTTGATATGCTTCGGTTGTTCCTGATGGAATCATTTACATGGTCTGAGAAGAAGGCAGATGAGGTGTTGATACCGGTCATACGTGAAATGAATAAGCGCAAGGTAATTGTAATTTGCGAACATCTGGAAGAGTATGAGGATTCTTGGAAACACGCGTACTTACATGCATTGCTGCATTGGCAATAACAGAGTGAAGGTCAACAAACAAACATTGGAACGTTTCTGGATACGTCCACGGGAACCACCACAACAAACTATGCTCCCCACAAGCGGAAACCCCACAAAAGCAAACGCGTGCAGTCAGCCATCAATCGCTGGCGTAAAGAGAAGGACACAGGTGAAGAAGCACCCAAAGAGCAAAAGCGCAAGAGAACACGTCGCTCATAAGGACCCATCCCACTCATCCCACACGTCATGTCATCTGCCATTTTGTATTTTTTTTACTGCTATTACTATGTACTTTCTATATACGTACACCCCGCGGCAACAAAAGCAAAAAGATCGTGCACCTCTCCAAACTTGGTGCTTTCGCAGTGACATAATCGCATAATATAGAGCTTTGAATATTTAACTTAATTTGTCTTGCGTCTTTTCTTTCTCCTTGGACTTTCACCGCCATATTTTCTCAGTGCGTATCCAATAAATTGGAATGGTAACAGCAACAAACGACGCCATTTTGACGAGCGAACAGCTTGATACGCTGGCAGCCCTGGCCGACACAGTTGTTGGCGAGCTGTCGGCTCAAGAACAAAGCGCCATCGTACAAAGAACGCTGGAACGTTACGGCCGAACAACACTTACAGCGGAGCAAGCACCGCTCAGCGACGCGCAACGCATGACTGAGTACTTGAAACTGTCTGGAGGAGCCAGTCACCGCAACGAGCTTGTGCAAGTGCTCGCCAGAGCACCAGTGCGAAGCCAGCAGTCCCTACGTATTGTTCTGAATCTTCTTTCGTCTCGCGTAGGTTCTTTTATACTCACAGGCCATGCCAAGCCGTTCAAGTCGTTGACTCGACGTGAGCGAGAAGCTGTCTTCCTCAAATGGAAAGACTCCTCGTTTGCTGCCTTTGTCTCACTCTACAAGGCTTTCCATGGTGTCTCCATCACGGCTGTGTATCGCGACCCTACATGCAACGTACACCCTGCAGTCGGGTACCCTATCTATGACCCTGTACGGACGGCGCCTGAGTACACATCACCTCGCGAACTCAAGGATCGATACAAGATGCTTACTGCAGATGAGGTCGAGAACAAGCATTTTGATGTGATCATCATTGGAAGTGGAGCAGGAGGAGGTATGATGGAATTCTTGGTAGCTGCTGTGTAACTTTTCCTCAGACAAAACGCTTTATTTGAAATATCATACCCCCGACAGGTGTTTGTGCTGCAGAGCTTGCCAAATCGGGACATTCTGTGCTGGTGGTCGAGCAGGCAACCTATCTGCATGAAAGTGAGCTGCAATTGTTCGAACGCTCGGCATATCCTGCCCTTTATGAACAAAGCGGCGCTGTTCGGACTGAAGATGGAGGCTGCGTTATGGTTGCAGGCCGTGCGTTTGGTGGCGGCACTACTGTGAACTATAGCGTGTCTCTGAAGGTAAAGCAGTGTATTCGTGTGGGGTGTGTGGGGTGTGTGGGGTATAAATATCGGTCCATGTTTCGTGGGAGTCTGTGTGTGTGAGAACTTTACGTTCTCATTTTCAATTTCTGCTGGCATGACTAAACCCTGGGTGAAATGGGCGCTAATAACACATTACCATTGCCTTGACACGTGTAGCTCCCTTACACTGTACGTGAAGAATGGGCAAAGAAACACGGCCTTCCCCACTTCGTCTCACCCAAGGTTAGTTTGTTATTCTGGCGCCAGCAGTTATTACCGTGGTAATAATATATTGCATTACGATAGTTTGCTGATGATCTGGATCGCGTATACGAACGCATTGGCGCAAGTACCGAAGGTATCAAGCATAATGGCCCAAACCAGGTTATGCTTAACGGCTGTCGGTACGTTTTACTAATATTCAATTTGCCAGACAAGACATGTAAATGTATACTTCAACCTAACTATAAAATATAGCAAGCTCGGTTACAATGTATTTGATATCCCACAAAACACTGGAGGGCATTCACATGAGTGCGGATGGTGCTATTGTGGCTGTGCTGACGGTATCAAGAATGGCACCATGAATACTTGGCTTCGAGATGCTGAAGCACACGGCGCAAAATTCTTGGATCGCACACGAGTGCTTCGAGTCCTCATAGACAAAAAACATTGCGCTACTGGTGTCGAGTGTCTAGTCCAGCATGATGGCCAAAGCAAAAAAATCCGTATCCATGCGCAACGTGTTATATCATCGGCTGGATCATTACATACACCGGGCGTCTTGCAGCGCAGTGGGCTTGTCAATACGCACATCGGACGTAATCTTCGGCTTCATCCTGGCAGCATGCTATTTGGATTTTTTGATCAGCCTATCGACATGCATCTTGGGTCGATTGTGACAACAGTAAGCTTATACGCTCGTGGTTTCGACCTTGATGCTTTTTACTTTCGATTCACGCAATACATGTGTCAACATCTGAAATGCTTATATTATCATTAGGGCTGCGAGTTTAATGGCGATCTTCGCAGTAAAGAAGGATATGGTCTGATCTTGGAAATTCCAACTATATCACCGAGCTTCCTTGGCTCACTTTTACCGTGGCGTGGTGCGGCAAAACACAAGGAGCTTATGCTTCGGTATCGCTTCGCTTCTCCTCTGGTTCCGTTGTTGCGCGACTATGATTCTGCCGGCACTATCAATTATGACGCAGACGGAGATGTTGTAATCAATTACAATCTGACTAGTGACGACCGCAAAAAACTAGTGGGTGGCATGGTTCGCACTGCTATGATTATGTGCGCTGCTGGTGCTCGAGAAATACATACAGGGCAGCTAGGCATGGAGCCATTCGTTTTTCGTGAAGACGAAGAGATTCGTGTGGACAATCCTCGATTTCAACGTTGGAAATCTCAGATCGAGAGTTATGGCCTGCCGACAAAGGGTAATATTACGCTGGTGAGCGCTCATCAGCTCGGAACATGGTAAGGATAATTTGTGCTGACATGTATGAAAGAGATAAGAGTAATTTTCAAAACTAATATGTGTCACGTTATGAAGCCGAATGGGTGATTCGCCGGCGAATTCTGCAACCAAACCGACAGGCGAGACATGGGAAGTCAAGAACTTATATGTGGCAGATGCGTCATTGTTCCCAACTGCAAGTGGCGTAAATCCTATGGTCACCACAGAGGCAATCGCTATTCACGTCGCTGCCAGCATTACTGAATCGCTGAAACAGTCTTCTACAGAGGTCGCCCAAGCTATGGCTAAATTGTAATACTGTATGCTTACACTATCTGAAATGGAATGCAAGATAGTCTTCATTTTTATTTTCCTTATCCATCTTATACTGTACCTAACAGAATGTAATCTATCATATAAAACGTATCCTTGTGATGCTTCACAACGTATGATAGAATACAGACCACTTTTCGGGCCAAAAGCTCGCATCATATACCGAGCTATCCATTATTTAAATGAGACATAGCATTTGAGCAAACTATGATGATCGCACATATTCGCCGAGTAAAGTAAACTATAAAAAGGTATTATATCAATGCTTATTATAACTTCAATTACCGTACTGTGTCTGTTTTAGTTGAAGCCCTAGCAGTTACATTTATATTAATTCTGTCGATCATCCTCATTATTATTTCAATTTCCTTCTTCTTCTCTAAAGACGCCTTCCTTGGCAACCTGAAATCAATTCAAAAGATACACCAAATCAGATAGGCACCACCAAAGAATTACAAGCTGGTGCTTACATATTGCTACTGGTTCTTCCTAATATCCTTATGAGAACAATTTTCGGAAGAGGCTTAGTTTTTCTTTATTCACTGTACAGTATAATAATTTGACAGCTTACAAAAGATGGGTGATTGTAAAACAACCTACGTTTTCGCTTTCAAAACATTAGGTATAAGGTTGTTTATATATCGTCGCTGTGCTCCTAGTTATATGTCATGATGGTTCAACTGGTGACTCGGTCATTACAAGTTATAATTAACACAATACTGGATCTCTGGCTCAGGGTGTCTGAAATGGACGTTTTCAAGGGAAAAAAGAGGCCTGAACATGATGTATACGTACGCGTGCAATGTACCATTTACCTTTTTTCACACTACGCAAAAGAAGTAATGAATTTTGTTTGCTGCTTACTAAAGAGAACTAAATAAGTGAATGTTATGGGAGGAAGAGAGTATTTAAGCGAGCAACTGGATCATGTGTTACATAAAAGATTTACAAAGAGAGACTGTCAAAGGCTGTGCCCTCATGAAAGCACCTGGAAGATAAAGTTTATTCTCAGCCGAGTAGATGTGGATGAGAACAAACCCATTTCAGCATTGCGTAGGCGAGCGGAAGAATGTTTAAATGTAAAAGGTATGAAATAAGATTGTAATTGAGTCAGATGATGCAAGACTGGAAAAGGTTATACGCAATTTCCGAGATCATGAAATTTTGCGATTGGGTAGAAGCCTGTGCGTGTGGACGTGTCACACACACCTGTAGATCCTGGGCCATCAGCACTTCAGATCCACCTTTCATAAGTACCCCGCAAACTGCAAACGTGCTTTTTGCTCATATTTTCTATGAAGCAACCCGTTTTTTTCTTTTATGTAAAGACAATTTGGGCTCAAAACATTTTACTCTGGCTCATGCTATCTAATTATTGTTTCGTAAGCGCTAATACATATGCTCCTATATATGATGACATGTATAGACGAGCATGTCAAGCACCTTCCCGAATTTAACACGCTTCAAGTATTTCATATGCTGTGAATTATGTAGTCTATCACATACATGTGTAGTCTTAACAGTCGTGTGAATTTGCACACGGAAAAGTGCCATGGTATTCCGAAACAGAATTTGTTTTGAGAAACATCACTAGATCACAGGAAAACCAGTGTTTCACCATGGATATCCGCGGCCGCCACCGAGACGGAAGTAATGAAACCTTACTACATATCGTGGACAGAAAACATCAACTTTTTATTTTATTTAACAGCTCTAAATGCATGACAGTGATATCAACAAAAAACTGAAAATGTAAAGGAGTAGCTCTATGATACGACATGCATCGCGAGCTCGAGTTTTGCCTTTGGGGCAGCTGAGGTATTATAGCAATTGAAGTCAGAAACAGTACCTCAAACTATTAAACATTTAAAATATCGGATGCAAGTTTCCGATAAGAATATTGACGACCTAGTTTCGATGGATCGCATCTAGCATAACTGTTGCCATTGCGTGTGTGCACACGATGCAATGTGAGATATTTAGAAAGACTGTGGTACATCTAGCTCGCTCTTTTCTTTCGAAAGTGTTTGTATTAAATGGATTTTTCAAGTTTGTTCGAATGCATGCCAACATATTATTCGATTTTTATCAAACGTGTAGAAATAGTATTAGTAACAAGGATGGTTATTCCAGGTCTCTGGAAAACACCCACGCTCTCAATCAGGGAGATTTCATAATAGATTCTAGTCATTCATTCAATTCTTTCTGTCAGACGAGTAAAATGGTTAGTGTCGCCACTGCTAGTCGATCAATCAAACCTGAAGAAAAGAAAAAGAAAACTGAGATCGTCTAAATATGGTACAGATACAGACGCACGCCACAAAAGTACTTTGTTTGTCAGGATGGATAGGATGGACAGGAAGTTTCTGATGATGCTCTCCTATTCATACTAGGTATACTCTCATCACACATCTCATACTGTTGCTGTTCTTTTTTGCTTGAGAAGAAGCGTCGGAAATCACTCAGGGAAGCTAATATATAAAGCAGCCTGTGAAGTACTACACTTGCGAACATGCTCCGTGTCTTCTCAAAAGGCTACATTTAACTCGCTCTTCTTCTATCTCTTGCTTTGTTTCCCCAGCGTGTACTTAGACCCATATAGTTATCATGGGTGTTCCCACTACCGACAGCGCTAATAGCAGCAGCAGTAATCAAGGCTCTACTGCTGACCATTATAAGCCGACCGCAAAGATCAGCTCTCCAGCAGAAGATCAAAATGATGCGCCATATATTGATCCGGTTGTGCAGAAGCGCTTAGTGCGAAAACTTGATATGCGAATGCTGATATGGTCTTTTCTTGCATACTTTGCAAACTTGTTGGATCGGAACAACTTGCGTAAGCTTTGTTTTTTATCACTTTGATGCTTGTTTGGTTTTACATTACAGTAATCAATTGATCGTTACTTATCCTTAATTCTTCTGTATCATAGAGAATGCTTTCACTATGGGCATGGAGGAGGACTTGGACCTCAACTCGTCAGTTTACAACTGGGCTGTTACTATGTTCTTCATCGGTTATATTGTGTAAGTGTATATTGTAGCTCACTTCTATATTTACTAACCCTTCTGCAGATAGACTTACTAATGCTTATTTTTCTTGATTCTGGCTTGAAGGTTGCAGATTCCGGGTAATATCATCATCACCAAGTTTTCGCCTCGCTTGCTCCTCCCATCTGTAGTCATTACGTGGGGTGCTGTAGTGAGTTTTATGGCGCTCATTCAGGATTACAAGTCACTCTGGGGTCTTCGTCTATGCCTTGGTCTGGCAGAAGCTGTAAGTTATTAGAGAAACGCCATTGTGTTGCTTCAATAAAGCACAATGTATTCTCACGTGAAAGGCTAATCAATGTATACATACTGCCAGGCATTCTATCCGGGTATGATCTTCTTGCTTGGTAGCTGGTATACTAAGGAGGAGTTAGGCAAACGAACAATGTTTTTTGCTACTGGAAATCAAGTATCTGGCGCTTTTGGTGGTCTCATTGCTGGTGGTATTGCAGACACGATGCATGGTGCTGGAGGCTTACCGGCATGGAAGTGGTTGTTTATTATTGAGGGTTTGATCGGTGTTGTTATTGGTGTGTTGGGATTCTTTTTGCTCCCAAATTTCCCACACAACACCAAATGGCTTACCGAAGAAGAGCGTGTGCTCGCTGTTACCCGTGTACAAACCCAAGGCAAGCAGGTTGTTTCCAACGCGTACAATTGGAGGACGTAAGTCTTTTCTTTTCCCTCTCTTTTTCAATGCGTATATGCCCTTTCATGGCTTAACAAATTTTTGCTCACGTGATTGATCATTTATCACCGTTACCTATAGAGTGGCTAATGTGATGGCAACACCGTACTCCTGGCTGATGATTATCAACTTTGCATGCATCTATATCGGCAACAATATGTCACTCAACTTTGCCATTATTCTTCGTGATATGGGCTATCCCGTTTCGTTCTCCAACTATATGAACACGCCGGCCTACATCTTTGGTGCCGTAATTGCTATTGCTATTGGATGGTCGTCGGACAAAACAGGTGATCGCGCATTCCATGTTGCAGGCACACAACTCTGGGTCGGTATATGGTTCTTGATATTAGCGGTCGTGAACAAAGGAGACAATCCAGCTGCACTCGTGTTTGCTGGGACATACGCCATCACCGCAAATATCAGTATGACCGCTCTTTGTTTGGCTTGGTCCAATGAAATTTACAGATCTGATCATAACACAAGAGCCGTTGCTATTGCGTTTATTAACGCGATTGGTAACCTTGCACCAAACTTCGTGAACGTAAGAGCGTGGGTTGTTTCGGACTCGCCCGACTTTTGTAAGTGCTATCATAGTGCTGCTAGTGATTCTTTGTGAGACATGCAGATAAAGAGGGATGTGGACGGGCATTTGTCGTAACCGTCTGGTCACAGGATCAAAATTGTCTAACCTTGGCTTTGTTTCCCTCTTTTCGAAATAAGGGTTAGGAAAGGCTACCAGTGCGGGTATGAGCTTTGCATCGGTGGCGCTAACTATTTTTATCTGGTTTCTACTCCGTATCCAATTCATGGTACCAAAAGCTGTCGAAAATGAGAAAAGCGATGCTGTCGAGGAAGAATCCTCGGTTGGAGGAGGGTCCAACAAAATCCAAAATCCTGCATGATTTCAGACTGGATGAAACAAAGCAATGTACTCGTAATCTTATATAATACATAAATACACATAGTACTAGTAGTAGTTTTTTTTTTCAATATTTGTTGGCCGGGAGTTTGTTGACTCTTTTATTTTTGCGAGTAAATGATATAGTCTCAGACGGTCATGGCCCCATGTTAAGCTCTAGTAGGTTCGTTTATCTGTTAGCTCGATCAAGTGTGGTATGTAATGGTGCTAAGGAATGCATTCCCGCTAACATTGCAAGCGGCGCTCAGCTCCGCGAATTCAACAGCTGCTCTCAGGTGGCAGCACACCCTTCACTGTCGGGCTCGCTGTCCACACCACTTTAATCCTAATGCACTTTGTGTTTCATCGTAATTGGACAGCTGTTAACAATTAGAGGCGAGTAATCTAAGCATATTTTGTGTTTGATGGTTGCTCCGTCTTCTAAAACAGTAACCGTCCTCAATCCAGCCTTACTGTAAGCCCAGGTCCTCATGCCTTCCTCCCAGGGATTTGCTTATATAAGCATTGCCGCGCCCAAAAATAGCGGTTCTATCCAAGAGCGCCATGAATTTCTCGGCCGAGCTGTGAGTTTATAGCATACTAAAGACTAGATAATCATGCGACCTATATAACGGATACTTATAGTACGAAAAGCTGACTGTGGTATTCCTTCTTCCAACAAGCAATGTTTTTTCGGATGCTAGTGTAAAACTTTACCCTGTCGGTATTGGGTAGAACTGGAAATCAATTCTTGACCAATGCGGAACTCTGCTTCCGCTACTTTTCCCACCCTGATCCTGAGGACCCTGACTTGTTCCCCGCGTTTTCTTCTTCCTTTTCACGCTAAAATTATAAATTTTCATGTCGCTCAAGTGGGGAATCATTGGTACTGGTAGCATCGCACATACTTTCGCCACTGGGTTGAAGGCCGCAAAAAGGGGCGAGCTTGTTGCTATCGGCAGCCGAGCCAAGGAAAGCGCTGTCAAGTTTGGCGCCCAATACGGAGTACCAGACGACAAGTGCTACGCTACCTATGCTGAACTCTTTAATGATCCCTCGGTCGACATTGTCTACATTTCCACCCCGCATCCACAACACTGTGAAGTCTCCATTCAAGCCGCACAATCCAAAAAGAACATTCTGGTCGAGAAGCCCTTCGCCATGAACGAGGCTGAGGCGACGCGTATTCTTGCCGCAGCCAAGGAGAACGACGTGTTCTTGATGGAAGCATACATGTATCGATGCCATCCACAAACCTGCAAAATTGTAGAGCTGGTTCATAATGGAAGTATTGGTGATGTCAAGATGATCAAAGCCAACTTTGCATTCGATGGTCGCCCCCTGGGTGCCTCGTCGAGATTGTGGAGAAACGAGCTGGGTGGCGGTGCCATCATGGATATTGGCGGATGTAAGTATTTCCGTCCGTGAGTTTGATTCATTTCTTTTATACGTGTTCGGTGAAGCTGAATCTGTGTTTTTGTAGACCCCATGTCATTTGCTCGTTTGATTGCTGGTGCTGCTACAAACTCTGGTTTCGCTAACCCTACCGAGATTAAGGCAGTTGGTCACGTTCAAGCCGATACGCAGGTCGATGAGTGGACAACCGCTTCTTTGGCTTTTGGCGAAAAGATCTCTGCACAACTCTTTACAGCCATTTTTGCTGATCTGGATAGCTGTATCGAAGTGCTCGGTAGCAAAGGATCTATCAAGGCACCCAATCTCTGGAGACCGGATTTGCCAGCCATGGCTCCCATGAAAATCGAACTGACAGAGTACGGCAAGGAGCCCCAGGTGGTGGCTTTTGATCTTCCAGAACCCGACCTTTATGCGATCGAAGCTGATGCTGTTGCAGATGCCGTCTTTCAAGGTGCCAAAGAATGCAAATACATGACATGGGAAGATAGTATGGGCCAGATCCGTGCCATCGACAAATGGCGCAAAGAAATTGGACTGATTTATTCAGCTGATAAATAATCCTTGTAAACACGAACATATTGTAATCATTAACGCTGCAATAAAGTGCATTGATAATATTGTATCACACCATCTATTGTAGCTATAGATCTAATTTTGGATTTAAAAAATGATTGTTTAGAATAAGATATGACAGCTGGATGAGCAATTGCAACATGAAGTCTGTAACATTTGGTAACAATCAGTGTCACAACTGCTGGTGCTGGGTTATTACTGTTCTTTGACACGTTCAGGTGAGTCATAACTACTACATTGAAAAATGAAGAGTCGGTATATACACACTATCCAATATGAAGCCCACAGCTCTCTTTACTCTCTTCTCTTTTATTTTACAATAACACTACTCGATTATGTCAAAAAAGCAGCGGTCTCTTAAAGCGTAAGTGAGTCCTATTATTACGTGAGGTCTGCCCTTTACTGCCTGTCGTCTTAAACAAATAATTTTCTTGGGAACTCCGGTTGCTATTGAAAAGCAGTCGTCAAAAATCGAGCTTTCACTATACGCGTTTTACTCAAATGGATCAACCTGCAAACAAATCTTCGGTAAAGAAAAGGAAGAAAGCCCCATTGAGCGCATTATTGATAAGAGCTTTGCTGACTAACGGTTAATGTACAGCCTCTCCTTGTGCCAGGAGCTGTAGCAGCACAAAAGTCAGTGTCGGGATCTCCCATGAGCTCGTCATACGAGAATCAATGGCTTGCGCCCGACGAAAAGCAGCAGCGAGGAGCCTCGCCAGCCAGTAGCCGTACCAGTGATTCCAAACCAAGCAAAGCGTCTAGTGACGCTGGAAGCAGTCCTCAGATCGCACAGCAGAACGACCATCAAAAGCAGCAGCAGCAGCAACAACAGAACCCCAACCAACCACCTCGTAAATCGCAAAAAGAAATGACCAAGGCAGAGCGTCGTGCACTTCAAGAGCAACAGCGTTTGGAGAAACAAAGTCGAGTTGCAGCTGGTTTGCCAAAATCTGCAAAAAAGGCAGCCGAGGCGGAAACGACTAACAAGAAGCCTCAGCAACAACAACAACAACAACAACAACAACAGCAGCAGCAACAGTCGTCTGGAGGAACCGACGATAAACAAAAGAAGAAAGCGAGAGCATCAAAGACTGATCAAAACCAAGTTCCTTGGTTAATGCATTTGGATTCTCCAAAGAGACCCGAGACGGGTGGAAACAAGGATCTGCATCCTGCAGTTTTGGTATTGGGTCTGTACTTCTCGGAACACAAGATTGTTGGTTCCAATGCTAGATGTGTGGCTATGTTAGAAACATTTTCCAAGGTTAGTTTTGCAGAAGGACATATTTATTTTGTTCTTATATGGGCATCAGGGTGGATGTAGGTGCTGGGTAGTGAAGACCGTCTAACTCATTAGAACATCGGTTGAATTCGAATAGGTCATAGAGGATCATCGTCCACCAGCTGACGCCACGTTTGCACGAAACATTCAAAAACACCTTGATCCACATATTGCCTACCTTTTGGGAACCCGTCCAATGTCGTTGAGTATGCGTGAATGTATTCGATGGCTTAAGAAGGAAATTTCAGATATCGTAGAGGAAGATCCTCCACTTTCGGACGATGAGGTATTGTTGTCGTTGGAAAAAATTGGCAGTGGATGGAGGACGAGGTATAGATACTGGTCGTATTGATAGGATGCGTTTTATTTTGTTTATAGGCACGGAGTAGACTTATCGAAGCCATCGAGCATTTTATCCGTGAGCGTATCACCATGGCCGATCAGTTAATCGTTCAGAACGGCTTGCAGAAAATTAAGGATGGAGAAGTTATATTGACATATGGAAAGTCATCGGTTGTTGAGAACCTGTTGCTAGAAACAAAGAAAAAGGGAATCGACTTTAAGGTTATTATTGTCGATAGCCGTCCCCTATTTGAAGGTAAGGATATCACTCTTCATCATCTTCTGATACAAATGGCAAATGTGGCAGCGATCCGTGTTACTTACTGCGATTTTGGAGTATAGGCAAGCATCTTCTGCGACGGTTAGCAGCAGCTGGAATCGATTGCTCATACTATCTGCTGTCAAGTGTCTACGTTGCCTTGCGATCTGTTACTAAGGTGATCATGGGTGCACATGCGTTGCTTAACAACGGTGCAGTGTATTCCCGTGTTGGAACTGCAATGGTTGCTATGGCTGCCCGTGACAAACAGATTCCTGTAATGATCTGCTGTGAGACGTACAAGTTCGTCAACCGTACTCAGGTCGACTCATTGGTTTTGAACGAGATTGGTTAGTATATGAACATATACGCTTCTGTGTCTGTTGTCGATTACTCATATATATCTGGATGCTCTTTAAATAATATAGGAAATCCGGATGAGCTTGTCGACACAAAGCCAGTCTATAACTCTTGCCATCAAATACATCCTACTCCGAAAGAATCGGCATTATCCTCCTGGCGAGATCAACCAAACCTGAGATTACTTAACTTGTTATATGATGTAACGCCATCCAAATATATTTCCCTCGTCGTAACAGAAGTCGGTCTTATTCCTTGTACTTCGGCGCCTGTGGTACGTATTTATAGTGTGTATATCAATTTGAAAGAACACAATCTCTAAATTTTATTGTTGTTATTTTAGATTTGGCGTGAATATAAGTAAGCCTGGCTTGACAGAAGAGAAGTCTGTGTAAGTTGACTGTGATATGTGTAAACTAACATTTATTCTTTCTCTCTAGTGAGGAATTTGGAAAGCGGACGAAGTAATCATATCTACTATAAAAATAAAAAAGAAGTTTTCAGTTTCAATCTTCGATTATATTTTTGCGGATGATGCTCAAGCCATAAAAGGATTATGGATGTAAAGCAAGGTGTAACTTTTTTTATTTTACATCAGTAAATGTAAAACTATGCAAGACTCTGGATATGATTATCAAGCGATTAGAATTCGCTTTATTGGGAATCTTTTTTTCCTTTACTTTTATTCTTTTGAGGATGTATCATTTTCTTCAAAGTTCTTGACACCTTTCTTCTCGACCGGTTGTGGAAGCATGAACTTGATGCGCAATAAGAACGCGATGACTAGCGTTATTAATACTGAGCCAAAGCTCATACCCATGCTGGTCATTTTACCGTTAACTACGAAAAAACCACAATGATCATTAAACTAATTAGAAAGTTATTCCGTTGCATCAAGCCAAGAAAGACATGCTAACTTACAGAATGCAGGCGCATCGGAGACAATCCAGGCTCTTAAATTAATGAAGTTTGGAGCAAGGTTACCAACTGCGTTGATAAAAGCAATTGCAACAGCTCGAGAGTTATGATCAGCTTGGTATATCTCGGTTATCCAAGCCAGACACAATGCAGGTAATGAGATATTCACGGCAATAGCGAACACACCCACAAAAAGCAAAGCGGGAGGGTTGTTTCCGAGGCCTACGACACCCAGAATCAAGTACCATACACCGACCCAAAGTTCGGTGACGGCGATGTGAATAATCCGATCTCCAGTTTTGTCCGATGACCAAGCAACGACGAGAGCCGCAATAGCGCCGAAAAGATATGCTGGAGTGTTCATGTAATTTGCAAAGGCAACCTCGTATCCCATTCCTCGCAGAATAATGGCAAAATTGAGAGACAGCTGATTGCCAATATATATGCAAGAAAAGTTAAGCACTTGAAGCCAAGCATAGGGTGTCGCCAACACGTTGGCAATACTATAGTCAAAATCAGTTATCAAAAATTAGATATCAGAATTTGATGAACTAATAGCAAATGTTTTTATCCTTGAAAATACAAAGAACTTAAAGAGACGCATTCGCTTACGTTTTAAAGTTGAAAGTAGCCGATTTGACCTTGCTGCCCTGGTGCTGGATTCGTGCAATTGCAAGCTCTCGCTCTTCTTCGGTGAGCCAGTAAGTACGATGATGAGGGAAATTGGGGAGCAAGAAATAGCCGGCTATACCGATAACAACGCCAATCAGACCTTCAATGATGAATAACCATTTCCATGCCGGCAAACCAGCGGCGCCAGTCATCGTGTCAGAAATGCCACCGGCAATGAGGCCGCCGAAAGCGCCAGATACTTGGTTACCAGTAGTGAAGAACATCATTCGTTTTCCAAGCTCCTCCTTGGTATACCAGCTACCAAGTAAGAAAATCATACCAGGATAGAACGCGGCCTGTATATTGAAAATGGACAGACGGGGGAATCAGTAAAAACTGCTGGCACAATAATTTTTTCAACGATCAATTTAGTGTTCTGGGCATACCTCCACCAAACCCATCAGCATACGAAGGCCCCAAAGTCCTTGGTGATTTGTAACAAGAGCCATGAAACAGACAATTGAACCCCAGCCAAGAACTACTGAAGGCAGAAACCACCGCGGCAACACTTTTGTTATGATCATATTGCTGGGAATTTGTAATCTATTACAATTATAAAGCAGGATCGGGTTGTTTTCATAAATGAGCATACAGTCATTCTATAATCAACGGTATGAGTAAAAATAAGTAATAGAAACGTACACGACATAACCGATGAAAAACATTGTTACGGCCCAGTTATACACATCTGAATTGAGGTCTAGATCTCGTTCCATGCCCATGGTAAACGCATTTTCTAACAAGAATGCAAAGATTAGTAAACTATATTGTTGCTACTCAGATATACATCGCTAAGTTTCAGCTTGATACTGTAACAACTCACGTAAATTGTTCCGGTCGAGCTGATTTGCAAAATAAGCAAAGAACGACCAAATGAGCATCCGTGAATCAAGTTTTCGTATAAGCTTGCGTTCCAAGACTGGATCAACGGTATAAGACTTTTCTTGGCTAGTTTGGCTTTCTTCATCGCTATGAGGTACATCGTCGACAATGGAGACTACGGGTTTATTGCCGTTCTCGGGTACTGATACCCGACCGGTGCTGTTGATACTAGCAGTGCCCATTTGAGTTAGCTAAGGAAACGATAGTTATGGATGCAAAACAAATAGAGCAAGTAGTAGTAGTTAAATGTAAGGAGCTTTTTCGAATGTATGTTTCTCTGTGGGATACGTTTGATAGCCTGCTTATATACTCACTACTTCGTGAAAGGAGATTGAACCTTCATCAACATCTTACATCACCTAGTAAGTATGTGAGTGTTTCGGAAATAAGAGCAGTGATCCTTCTCTTTCTCTCTCCCAAAAAAGAGCACTAACCAGGTCCTACCAGCAGTCTGGTTTTCCAATTCGCCACTGACAATAATGCTCTGCTCTTCCCGTTAACATTCCCCCAAAAGAAACTAAACCTAAAGATTCAATGGGAAGGCATATGTGGCTTGGTCCCGTTTCGTGTTGGTGCTTCCAGCCATCCCATTTCGTTTTTACCGCTAATCAGCAGGATAATTCTGCAACCTTAAAAATTAAGAGCCGACGTGTTTGAAAAACGCATACGAATCTACTGGGAAAAGTAATAAAAAGAAAGAAACTTATTGTTTTCTTTGTTGCGATATTATCAGTAGATATAGTAATCTTCTACCTAAATAGACACCACAATATATATTCCCACTTAGCAGCCAAGACATGTCATATATCAAATGACTCGATGGCATGATCCGTCCGTTAGGAAAAGCACGATCTTTCAAATGCGTTTTTACACAAGATTGGGCAATTCTTGGGCTTCTTGCTATGCTGCTGTGTGACAGGTACGAGATGAATCCAAAGCGTAAATGACATCTTTTGTTATAAAAAAAAAAAAAACTTGACGTTACATTTTTTCTATTTCCGTAATTTTTTTTTGATGCATATGCATGTTGTCTTCGCTTAGCAAAATCTCACGGTTTGCCCGGCTAACACTTATTTTAGATAAGGCTCAATAATGAAGGTTCTTTTTAACTGCAATACAGGCGGTTGCATCGCTGGATTTTTTGCGATGTGCCAGGTGAAACGATCTACTTTCTGTATTCCGGTGATAAATGTTCGACTGAAATGTAGTTGACGTGACCGTGTGTATATTCACACGCTCGCTTGATCTGCTGGAAGGCATATATGGGGGAACGTCAAAAATGATAATATTGTCGGTTTTGATATAACGGCATGGAAGACATAGAATATGAAGCTATAATCCTTTAAGTTCCACTCTTAGAATTATCTACAACCTCTAAAATCCAACATGTCTACATTGATACTGAACATATCACAGCAGCGATTCCTTAACAAAAAATATAATGTGATTTAGTGGACAAGGATTAAAAGACTTGCTTGAACCCCAATTTTTATTTGTCACCAAAGTTCATCTGCTGAATATTATTCTATTGATTTATCATGGATATACGATCATACTATATGGTGTGTGGTAGGGACTTACTCACGATAGTTGCTTGACCCAATCGCAAATTTTAGCAAAAGATGGAGAATATGACTTTAATCAACTAATTCTGAATAAAGTTGTACCACGGAACCCCGCTATTTTATCACCATATGTTACCAGAACTTACACGTATCCAGCGTGTGAGTCCTTTTGTGTAATGATTAAGCTTCGCGGAATAAGTGGGAAATTTTGCCGGTTTCGGTTAGACTTGCCGCACCGTGCGCCACCACCATATATAATGGAAGCAAGATGAAAGGCAGCAGTAAAAATGCGGTATCAAATTGAGTCATGTCCGAGTGCAGAACATAAAAAAAGCTATGAGTTTGTTGCTCCGTATGTTCACCAAATTTATACTCGTCAAAAACTTCATTATAAGGGTGCTTGTCTTATAAATTATGGCAATAATGTAATGTTAAGCACGGTGCACCGTGTCGCGGTTATCATCGTCGATATATGAAGAGAGCGTTTACATATGCGTCATCATCATCACAGATAGAATGTAACTCATACTGTACCGAGAACTCGTAACCATTAAGGATCCGCCCCAGCTTGTACTACTCGTCAGCTACAGATAGAAATTGGACGAACTCTTGATCCGCTTCCCAAAGAATGAGATCGGTAAAAGGGAGCATCTAAATATATACTTTGCTTCACATAACATTATCCAGATTTATATATTGCACATGATGAATAATATATGGCATATTATCATACGATATCTGAAGACTATTCGTTTATAACACATATATTCATTATTGCTTATACTCTTTGCAATGGATTTGGAGACAGCTGAAATTTCATAGCTAAAGTAGAATAATAGCTGTCAGTATACATGTGCAGCCACTCATCAGTATGTATGTAAAATATGGCTCGATGGAGCTAATGGATTAATAGAGCTTGCAATTGTTATTCCCAGGGCTCCAACAGCATTGGCAATAGCAATCACGTTCAAGGCTGACTGATATTTATCTACGCCGATGAGTTGCATAGTAAAACAGTAGAAGGGACTGTTTTTGTTGTGGTATAATGCGCATTACTAGGCTATTGGGATATCAAACGCGATATTTTTGCAAACAACGACTATGCATTTGTACTTACATAATGTAAGTTAGCCACCAGAGAAAAATACATAAATAGCGGAAAACGCTATAACCTTTGCAAGATTGCAGGCAAACACCCAGATCAAAAGACAGCTCACACCACTGATGATTGTCGTAAGTGTCAGCATGTTTATTACTCCTGTACGATTTGCTGTCATCCTAAACAATTTACATACTTCAAGCTGTAAGGAAATTATGGAAAGCAGCACAGCGCGAGGTGACAGTTCAATCTACATGTACCCATGGTCATACGTTCGAGAGACCCTGCTACACAAAGAACGGATATAGTCGCCGACTCTTGTGTGTCAGAAGACCGATGTATGTAGCGTACGCTAATCGATAGACTCAAACCTTTTAGTACAAACTCAAGTCAACAATCAGTTCGTTTGTAGCACACCACATGTTTCCCCGCATAGCGTATACAATACTCTGTCGACTGAGAGCGCATGGCGGGCTTGGAGTGCTCGACCCCGCTCTTCAGCAAAACATACTGCAAATTGAATAGATACGGGATTTGGTGGGATCGTGTAATTATCAAGTGTATCACACCCAATATTTGAGCCACCGCTTTTACTTAATAGCCGGTCTGACGTGACGCCACTACCAACTGTACTCGTCTGCCGAAATGCGCCAAAAGAAATTGCCACACCCACATTGACCATCAACCAACTGTTATTCCGCGTCTTCGACGCGATCGCCATTGATCTCAGTGAGTTTGACCTGTCGGTCGCTACATGCTTGGAATTGCTGCTTAAAGAAATACGGAAACCGATAGAGGGTGTCGATCCCTAAAGCAACCCGGTTTCAAGAATCTGCTTGTCAAAGACCTCTTCGCTGTTGACCAGGAAGCCCAGCCCAGCCACGCCACGTCCATCTACGTCGTCCAGGTGAAGGGTCTAGGTATCGATATTTGCTGTCTCAAATGCAGCAGTATCTGGGTCACAAGTGGATCGCACTCCATCCCTTTTTCCGCCGGTGGACTCGGGAAGAACGCACATTGTCTGATCAACTTGAACTGGGCATAGTCGACTCGTATGCTTTACTGAATCCTTTTCCGGAAGCTATGGCTCGAACTCAATGGCGATTGAAGACATACAGACAGATAGTGTCCCCTGCATTGACGCCAGACCCTTCAGACAACGACTGGCATATTTTCTGGTCCCAGCCGATAAAGCACGCTACATGGAACGTCTGGTATTAGGCTCTGCACTCCACCGTACCAACCACGAAAAATATGTACTGCATTGTCCCGACGTTTATGCCGTCAGCAACCTGTCGCATATGTAACACTCGAGTAGAATAAGTACATCAATTTCTTTTTCATTGCGCCCCCAAAGAAGAAGTATGGCGCAGGGCTTAAGCCCTGCTGCAACTAGCGGACCCCAATATGCAGGCGATCATCAGAGGTTGGAACTCACCTTCTATCTCAGTCCACAAGAAGCAAGCGCACTATGACGCTCATCACATCAATTGTACTAGCCATCTGGCGTGCTCACTGCGCGGTCATATTTGACCAGCAATCCTTTTTGCCCTCCATTGTAGCAGCCAAGACTGTTTTGATATGTTCTTGTTCATCACTCTAGTCAATTATCACACCACTTGTTTTTCAAGTCCCTCACTTTCCTTTTGCAATTTCTTTTCCATCTTTCTCATTTTCATTTGTCAATCAGCTCACTGTTTGCATCCTAAATCTGGCATAAAATCTGTGCCTGCAGCATCATTTATATACCTGCCCCGGCACTGTCACTCTCTCAGACACGATGACGGAAATGAAATTGCGCCCTACTCTACGGGCCATACAAAAAAAATACCTCTACTACAATAGAGCATGCACAAACAAATTCCTGTGTAGGCCTTAACACGCCTATTCAAGGTGTTAGCAGAAACAAGACAATGGCAGAAAGACCAGACACAGATGTGCTATGTGCTTTCAGTAATAATAGGACAGGATAAGAAGGGAACCGGAAAGTATGAGACCATAGGATGAGGGAAAAAACAAGATACTGTATACGATTGATGCTTTATGTTAGAAGACATTCCATAGGTGTGCATATATGAATCTTTTACTATGGATTATAATAATGGCACTTAATGGAAAGAGACCTTAAGAATGTGATTGATGATGTTGATGTTAAGAAATTTATCAGTATACGATCATAAAGGTAGAGGAATAATCACAATAGAGGTCTAGGTATGTTCGTGACAGTTCGATGTAACCAAAAGGTATCGTTCTCATGCCACTTAGATGGTTTTGGTTTGCATTGATTGGTGTACTTCCTATGATGGTGTCATTTTAAGCTCTTTGAAATAGTTTTTAGGAAGCTTGGATACTGCTTTCTTCAGCGTCAAAGCTGTTCTGCTCTTGGTGGTCCGTAAACATACATCGATAGTAATGGAAAACACGCTGCTTACAATCAAGTATGTGCTAGTAAAGTCAAGTAAACGATTTTTGCAAGAGAGGAAAAAAACGGATGAAAGGGCAAGATGTTTCTTTTAAATGGAACATATGTTCGCCCTACTGTATTGCGTTAATTTCAGGTTCGAAATTGTGTCTACCTTTTTTATAATACAAAACTTATGACTGCAATTTCCATTGATCGGCGAGAAGCATCACAAGAATATATATATATATATATATATATATTCATGTAAACCGGTGACGTATGCCAAAATATAATAAAAAAGAAGGGCCTGCTTCTACACGATAAAAATATTGCTACAAAATCAAAAGACCAGTGCATAGAAAAACTTTGTCTACGTATAAAATTAAATTTGGCTCGTGTTATTGCGATGGACACGTTATGGATGATGCTGTTGCTGCATTGTTGGCGAGGTATAATAGTTGTTGTTGTTTTCTCCTTTAGTAGTGGCGACAGGGTTATCGTCACTGGACATGGCAGCATGGTCCTCCAAAGTCCAAGCATCTTCTTGAATAGGTGGTAATAAGCTTCACTTATAAAAATCATCACGATCCCCACGTTTCATAAAAGAGATTGTCAAACCGTTATAAATTGCGCTGATGAAACTGGCAGCGGCCGTTTCTTGATCGTCAGCTAAGAAAAGAAGGTCATATCGAGTATCAATAGTATTGCTGGGTACGCTTCACATATAAAAAATCATCATGATCCCCAGGTTTCATACTCTTTTTATATCGCCGGTTCTTTGTTCCATTAAAGCGCACAGACCCGTCGCCGACAATTGTTGGATCAGAGCGGAGCACGGCAAGCGGAGCCGCATAGTGAAACAAACATATACGCACCATAAGAAAAAGACACTAGCATGACAGTCGTCAGACTACAACGATAATTATCATCAAGGCACTTCTTCACATTGCTGCAGTTCACTGGCTCCTTATTTTTTTTTTTTTTATGGAGGTTGGTCGGCCTCGAAATAAGTAGTTTTATTTGCAGTCCCACGTGTCAATGACAGTGGCGGGCTGTGTGCGAAACAGAGAGAACAGATTGACTAAAAAGATACTTGAGTATGACTATGGCTAAGAGCGATATAATGTGTGGTAAAATGTGAAGGTAGAGATAGGGGGTGTTGTAGCTATGATATGTTTTTTGTGTTTGTTTTTTTTTTTTTTTTTTTTTTTTTTTTTTTTTTTTTTTTTTTTTTTGTTTTTAGGGTGGGGGTATAGTATAGAAGAAAAGATTAAAAGATTTCTGAAAGAGATAGAGGTCGAAAGCGGATTAACAGAGAAGAGACCCGAGAGGCGACCATGGATGGTACAAATGGCTCATCATGAAAGATAAAACGCCAATAGGCTGCCCAGATTGCTTGTAAAATGCAGGCAATAGTAGTTGATATGGTGATAGGACGTGTAGGTGGTTCGTCTGGTAACGTGAGTTGACAGAGTAGTGGAAGGATCGAGGCTGGGTTAGGATCCGAGTACCGAAGGCGACCCCAAACTAGTTGCCACACTTGATATTTGTGGGGGCATTCGAATAGGAAATGGGGCGTGGTATCAATGTTGGATCGGCACAGGCGACAGTCCGGGGATGGAGCATGCGAGATATTGAAGCTATGAAGGCGTGAAGATGTTGGTAATGTCCCATGGATAGTGCGGAACCAGACGTTGCGGGCAGTGTGTTCCATGGGCCATGACCAAAATTTGGACCATTGTCGAGCGGTAATGCCAGTGACACTATGCGTTGGTGGTGAGCATGTACGGCGATATCGTTTTGTCTGCCATATGGGCAATGTGGTGTGCAATCGGAGAGAAAGCGGTGTTGCATCAATTGCGCCAAGACATCCAGAGTGGCTGTTGCCTGAAAATGCTGGCGGGAGACAGAGCCGTGCAAAGCCATTGATCATAAAGATTCTTCCTTGAGCGAGATCGTTGAAAAAGCGATTAGTGAGGATCCTCCGGATAATACCATCTGCGGCTGATCGACGGCGGAGATAGCCAAGTGAAGCGTCAAAGACAAAGAGGTCAGATACTTTCATTGTTTTGAAACCCGGGCGATGGAGGCGGGTGTTAGCCGCTGTTGGTGCCCAAATGGCGTTAAGCGGTATCTGGAGAACTGATGCGGCTGAGAGGTTAGATGATAACCAGTCGATTGGAAGTTGGTCAATAGCTCGATACAGCAGATAGCCGACAGTGCCCGAATCCCTTGCATCTGGACCACGTAAACCGGGAAAAACCAGAGTAAAGCGGGGGTCGATTGAGGCACCAGACGAGACCACAAGGTGGTGCCAGAGGCAGGTGGTGAGATATGTTGCTGTAGTTGAGTCTTGGTCAAAGAGCGGTTCCAACCATCGCAGTTGTAAAGCTGACTGTTGGAGCAGAGGATTCAAAATGCCCACCCCGCCATGGCTGCGCGGCTGGCAAAGGTTCTCGAAGCTGATACGAGGGAACATGCGCGTCATGAGGAATTGGCCACATATTGAGCGTAATTTCCTGAAGAAGGATGAAGGCGCAGCACCGACGAGTCGTAGTACGTGCCATAGCTTCGATAATATCAATGAGTTTAGTACTGTAGCGCGGCCGCGAATAGATAGTTGGCGTTGCGAGTGTAGCTGGCAGGCCGACCGTATCTTGACCAATATCTGCTCTAGAAACGTGTGTAGTTGATGTTGGGATGATGCTAGTGGGTAGCCGAGGTAAATTACCGGGTTGTCATCAGCACGAGTGTGGCATGGAGGATAGCCCGCCCTATCGAGGATAGGAGCCCAATCTGGAAGCGGCCTACCACAGAGCGATATGGCTTGAGTTTTGTGAGCGTTCATCCGTGCGTTTGATGCGGCCTGATAATGGTGTAAATGGAGGCGCAGACGTTCCAAATCTTGAGGTGAAGCGAGGAATACGAACACATCATCTGCGTACGCGAGGACTTTGAGTGGTGCTGGTGGCAAAAGAGTGGTGATTGTTTGACTAGATGCTGGTTGAAAGCCATGAAAAGACGTATCATGTATAATGCGGCGGAGGAGTGGTTCGAGAGCAAGATTAAAAAGGATAGGCGACATAGGATCCCCCTGCCGGAGACCACGTCCTTGGATGAAAGGATCCGTCACATGCCCATTGATGTTGAGATGTATGCGGGTCGAGAAAAACAGAGTACAGATGGAGTTGATGACCCTCTCGGGAAAACCAAAACGAACCATGACTTGGCGAAGATACGTTGGGTTAACGCGGTCATAGGCCTTCTCGGCATCTAATTGTAAAGCGATATGATTGCTAGCTGGATCGTTGCGCGCTTGTTCCATTGCCAGTTTCACCAACATACCATTGTTGGCTATGAACCGGCCTGGCAAGAATCCAGTTTGAAATTCATTGATGAGTGGATCAGCCGCTTGAATAAGGCGCGAGTTCAATAGCCGAGTGAATATTTTAGCGTCCGTATTGATCAAAGATATAGGCCTCCAATTGCGTAAGGTCGTCAAATCGCCCTTTTTGGGAAGCAGGGTTACTGCAGTGTCATTCCAAGATGCGGGGAACACTGCATCCTGTAGGGCAGCATTGTACACGGAGCGAGCAAGCTCCTGGTAGTCCGGGTGCTGAAAAACCAAGTACCAGATTGCATATGGAAGGCCATCGAGGCCAGGGCTACTTTTACTTGGTGCCCGTCTGGCGCCACTGATAAGATCCTCAGCGGAAAATGCAGCAGTGAGCAACTCACAGGCAGATTCCGTGATAGTGCAGGCTGTGGGAAGCTCATCCAAAAGGTAGGCCATCGAGTCTTGATCCACTGGGTCGGCAGTATATAAATCCTGATAGAACGCCCGGGCCGCTGCTTGTAAAGAGGTTGGTGTTGTTGCCAAATTATTAGTGTGGGGTTGTTGCAGTGCTAGGATCAGGCGCTGTGTCTGACGAGTGGTGGCAGTACGTTTTAAGTAGCCAGCCGATACTTCCCCTTGTTCTCTCCACCGTACGTTAGCACGAAGTGCAGCTGTGTCAACCATCTCTTGCTGGATGATTTCGATTTGTCGCTCTACTCGAGGCAAGTGCATTTCCAGTATTGCAGGGGGCGGATTTGCACGGAGGAGGCGGTTGCGCTTAGTTTGTAGGGCCTTGAGTTGCTGGTCCCGCCAGTCAGCACGTTGGCGTCCAAACTGTTGCATGAAACGCTTCAATTCATCCTTCAGGCAGTCCCATTGTTCTTGGATGTACCATTGGCCTGTAGGTTAGGGCGCAGTCGTGATAGCAGCCGTGCTAGGTCTTGTCGAAACTCTTTGATACGGGTGAAGTTGGGGTTACCGCGCCAGTACCCTTTACCGCGAGGGCTTTCACCAAGATCAATAAAGGCAGTCAACAAGCTGTGATCGGACCAGGCTCTACATAGTTTTTGCACGTCAGCACGTGTAATATGAGGGCGTAGGGAATACGTAGCATATATGTAGTCGAGTGTGGAATGATACAGATCCCCATGGCGGTAGGTGGGTAGTGGTGATGTCGCATCTGTATCCGTTATGCAGTCAAGAAAATTGTTTTGAATAACTGCGCGCCAAGCCGCAGGCACTCGGTTATGATGATCGGCTCGGTGACTGTTGTAGTTGAAATCGCCGGCAATGATAAGTCGGTCAAGATAGTTAGAGTCAGGGTTGTTGAAAATAGGTGATGCGAGTAGTTGGTCGTAGAAGGTGTGTCGCTCACGGATTGATGATGTGGCTGGTGCATAAATGACGAGAAAATAGAATGGTGTAAAAGTGCTGGAAACGGATTGGACATGAGCAAAAATGATCCGCTCCGTATTATCCGCCAGGTCTATATGGATCTTGGTGATGGTGATGTCAGGTGATAATGAAAGGAGGCCGCAGCGACTAGTCCAAAGGCTAACTGCTGGTCTGAATTGAAGGTCGAATGAATTTACAATGTCTTCTGAAGAAGCATTGGTTTCTTGTAGTGATAGTAGTTGTGGTTGTTGTTGACGCAGGTACCGAATAAGTGAGGACCGTGCGTCAGGGTTATGAGTTTTGCGTAGGCTATTACAATTTAAAGAGCACAATTTGAGGATCTGATTGGATGTCATGATGATAATTAATTTTGATACGTATTTTTGCGGGTCATCTTCTTTTTGTTGGATGATGACCCGGTCTTACTGCGTATAGCTTTTTCGGTCGGCTTGACTAATCTGCCACTTCTTGTATAAGTCTCAAGGGCTTGTTTGTTCGCAGGCACTGTCTCGATCTCGGGGAAGCGTAGACGCAATATCATAGCTGCCAATTTTTGTTCCTCTTCGGGTAAGCCCGCGAGATGTTCTCTGTCGTTATCCGTGAGGGGATAGCTGGTGTGCCACACTGGAGTGATTTGTGTTTCTTGTGCGAGCTGGAGCATGTGCTGGAAACTGTTAGGCGTAGTTTGCTTTTCGGTGAAGACTGAGTGGAGCGCCGCGGCAACCGTCTCGGCAGTGGCAGCAGGTCGTTCGGTGGACACGTCATTCGCCTCTAATTCATCCACAATTGCCATGTCCTCATCGTCTGTGTCGGTGCTGGCGATGGGGGCTGTCGATTCGTTGTCGTCAGAGGCGGTCGAATCGTTGTCATCGGAGGCGGTCGATCCGTAGTCGTCATTGTCGGTTCGATGTTGTTGCTCGTTTGGTTGTAGCTCGTTTGTAGGTGAGGTTTCACGAGCTGGTGTCTCTTCCACATGTTGTGAGACATTGGAACTATGCTCAGTTACCCCTGCTGAGGCTGGAGAGGACAGACCCGCATTGCCAGAGTTACGAATACGGCGTCGCTTGGTGCCTGCATTACTTTTGTTTCCTTGGACATGGTCGCTGGCGTTTGGGCAATTCACAGAGATGTGTCCGACTTTACCAC